AGGGGCCAAAAACTGCCAGAATAGGTAAATGGTTTTTGCGGGAACTGTTTTTCTGCAATACCTTTTGACTCAAAACATGCACGAGATTACTTTCAGCAGCATCCTGTTCCTCTCGTCAAGGCGACGCATCAAAAGAACTATAAGTTGACCTCAAAAGTTCAACTTGAAAAAATTACCCTAGGTCAAGGTCATGACCTCATGACAAGGTCATGACCTCAGGTCAATGTCATGACCTGACCAGAAAAGGTCATTCTGCATCAGTCGATCCGTATTGTCGAGCCAAACACATACATATAAGGTTTTTTCATCGCTCTAGCATGTCTCTGTTAAAAGTTATTTGCGAAAAACTGTAGGATACCATTCGTGACCTGAGATGACCTCAGGGACATAAAGATGGGTCACGGGTACCATTTTCCGGTTCAGTTTGTCATGTCTACTTGTAATTCGATGTTTGAAAGTGATTAGAATGACGTTCGGCCAAAAGAGGCGCCTTTCAATTTTCTCCCATTGACTTATAATGGAGAGGTCGCAAAATTGAACTGACCTTAGGTCACCGATATCGAAGTTCCGAGAGATACATTTTGTGTATCATTATTATAATTATTGTATACATTATGTGTATTGTGTATACTGTTGTTTTATCAGTTGCTCAAAGTTTCAAAGTGATCAGTCACTCGGTGTAGCTGTGACAGGCATTGAAACTTTTCATGTAGTAAGGTCACTTGACGTGATATGGTGACCTGACCTTGGATGACTTTGGTCTGAAGTTTTTACAGAAGGTGTAGAAAAGATGTATGATAAGATGTGCAAAACACGGCGGCACTCTGAGCCGCCGTTTTTTAGATATTCGCGAGAAACCGGAGGGGTTGTTTAAACAGTCCCCCCCCGCAGTGCGTGGGTAGGGGTATGATCAAGGATGAAGGTGTTACATATCTATGCACGTTTGCCTCATTTACCTACATATGCACACCCACCAATATAATAGATTTCTCACGGTCTTGATGCCCGCTTCTCCTCGTCGCCTGCTCGGCACCGGTCCACGCGGCACCCGCAGCGTCGATAGTCGGCCGGTGCAGCGTTCAGAGGTATCGTGTTCCCGCCTGCTCGGAACCATTCCCCTCGGCACCCTCCGACCGCCCGCAGCGTCGATAGCCGGCCGGTGCAGCGTCCAGAGGTATCGTGTTTCTAAGGGACTTAGTGGCATTCCACTCTATTTCCTGGTGGCTTCCAAAAAACCACTGCCACAGCACCATTACCCCATCTAGTGGCTGACTTGTTAAATATCAATTCACCCGGCGTCAACCAGAGGCATTATGTACCTTCCGATTTTAGACGATGCGATTTTGTATGATACGATCATCTCGTTTTGTAGGCTGCAATTTTGTATGATACGCGTTTGTTTGATCTGCCATTGTACGTTCCAATTTTGTACGTTCTGATCATTGTTTGATTTGCCATTGTACGCTTTACCCATTGGACGGTAAACTTTTGTACGTTAGGATTTTGTACGCTGCGCTTTTGTACGTTTGGGCTGTCCCCTACCTGGCCTGTTTTGTAGGTTTTGCGCGCTGTATGTTGCGATTTTGTATGATTTGAGGATTGTACGCTGCGCTTTTGTATGCTTTGATAGCCACCCTGCTCCAACACTACCGCAAGTGTGACGTCAGCTCGCGCAATTTGATAGCAGCGTGGTAGCAGCGTCCCGTGAAACACCGCCCATATCTCTCACCCGCTCATTTCCATCCCTCGCCTCGAGACTATTTGACCTTCAGTGGTCGTGGCAAACAGGGGTGGCTCCAACCATCACGCCAGTCATTGTCACGTACTTATGCCGTCGTCGATAAACAGAGATGTCTGTTCCTTTACGGAGTGCTTGGATGAGGGAGTCCGCCAACAGCCCGATATAAAGACTTTGGTAGCTCCATTATCGTCATGAGACTTTGTAATATTTTCAGGGAAATTGATGTTCGAATTAAGTTATAGACTAGAGTGCATTTTTAGACCCCCACCAGGCCGTCAATGTAAGCAGTTATTATGGCCCGCACACCAGGTGGGCATGGTATGCAGGCATTGTGTGCCGTTTGTTTCACTCAGTAAAGCCTCTGCGATTGTCGTCGCAAAATGAATTAAAATTAACGAACAGATACCGTCTTACGCCTTATGCTGCTGCAACGTGTTATATCTGTTACGGAATATGCATAATGCGTGCACGTTCGAATAAAAAGTAAGTAAAAATAAACAGGCGGTAGGCACCGACCTCTTTCGATTTCTTTTAAGGATATTAGCCTTAATGTGCGGCATCCCGAGATGTTTTGCACACGCTCACGACGGCCGTCCAATGCTCATTAGTACCTGAGTTTCGCCACATCGTTGGTCGGCTTCCATAAACGGCAATAAAGTATTCTGTGGGTTCTTCAGACGGCTGGAAAGCCGGTCATTACACCGTCAGCCAGCTGGTGTCCGAACCCCGGCCACTCGTAGATCCGGGAGTAGCCATGACGCTGTGGTAAACGTCAGACCGTTTAACCCGAGAACGCCGGGGGCGCATTTTTTATCATTGTGCAATCACGGCTATAAAACTGGTAGCGTTGTCCATGAAGGGTTACACGCATTTGTCACTAGGAAGAGCTGCTCCACAAGCCCGCTTTAAGCAAAATCCCGTATACTCGTAATGGTAATATGTGTGAGCGTATAGGTTTTGGCTGTAATAAGTTGTTTGCTTAGTAGGACCTTAGGTATGCAGTTGCATGCACAGCATGCTACCTGTGTCTGTGTGTGTCTTAATCTATCCACTAACCACTATGTATATCAGCTGTTCCCTCGTAGACATCGGACAATCGACATACTCGTATATCAGGCACTTGGAGACTCGTCACGGATCAGTGGGCAGATCCCGCTCAAAGGCCGACGGACCAACGGTCATGTTTATGGCACTGAAGTGCCTCTTATACAGTTGAATCAGGCCGATTGAATGGTCAGATTAGAAGGAGGGAACAATAAAAAGAATGCAAGATTAGCCTACAACGGAATGATCAGAGCGCTAATGCAAAAAGCTGTCGTTTTGATGTGGGCATAAAACAGAATTTTTACCGTCTTATTGTGTCGATGCTCTCATTCGATATGACAAACAAGAAATGGAATTTTATTTTGACTTATAATCAAGGCAACAGTAATCCAAAGCGATAAAACATAGTTGTGTAACTAGAGTACCTACCTACCGAAGCACTGGAAATTTAGAGACGGAAAAATTCCGTTTCATACGAAGTCAAGCTTAACCCGCGCACCGACGGGGGTCTGCGCCAACTTAGTACCGACGGGGGGGGGGGCGGATGACCGCCCCCCTGAGATCTCGAGAACGAAGCAAGATAGCGACAAGCGGTAAACGGCATCGGATACGCACGGACAAGGTCTACAATTTTTACTAAGGTCATTTTCAGGTCAGGTCAAAGATGACGTCACAGGGGTCGAAAAAGTCAAAATGGCGGCGCTAGATATGGAGAGGGTTTTTCTCGAATAACTTTCGAAGTAGTCAAGATAGGAACAAACTAAGGGCATCATCGTGATCCTCTCGTCAATCTGCATCGAATGATATATATGTTGACCTCGAAAGGTCAAGGTCAAAGGTTGACCTCAGGTCACGTGACCTCGAGGTCATCATGTATATCATTCGATGCGTCTTGACGAGCTGAACACAATGAGACCATCCGCGCGGCTGTATCTTGTTCCTGTAAGGAGTTATTGGCAAAAAACCTTTGGTGACCTTTGATGACGTCACATGACCTTACAGCTGCCCAACAGCAAAACAGACCTCAAGGTAGTGAAGGTTGATCGTATGTGAAGTCATGTATGGTATATGGGGCCATTCCGACCCGTTTTAGTGGTAAAAACAGGGAGTTGATTTTTCCCCCATTGACTTATAATGGGGAGGTCGCGAAATTGACCTGACCTTAGGTCACCGACATCAAAATTCCGAGATATACAAATTGTAGCTACTAATGACCTAATAACATCCTGCGACTTTCAAAGGCCTCCGACATCTACTGTAGCTCTGGCACGGTGACAAAGTTGCAAAAAAGTGACTTGAGGTTGGGTCATTCAAAGTGACCTGGTGACCTGACCTTAAAAGTTAGGAGGTTCAAACTTGCACACCATGTGTAAAATTGATGAGAGAATAGTCATACCAAATTTCGCGGCGCTACGCGCCGCGGTTTTCCCGCTATCCGCGAAAAACCTCAGGGGGGGGCGGATATCCGCCCCCCCCCCGTCGGTGCGCGGGTTAAAAGCAAAACCTTAGTCAGCACATCCTTATCCAAGACTTCTGAGGTGTGCAGAGGTCTACACATTTATTTATTAATCACATATTTGCAAACTGCACACTCTATTCCCCCCGGTGTCCCCTGGCCCGGCGGGGGAGCGGTCCCGAGGCCGTCACGGCTCAGTGGTGACCCCGCGCGCGGCCGGAGAATTAGTGGGTCACGTGGTCACGATCTGGCGACCGGCAGGGTCGCGGCCAGACCCGTCGGCTGCAGTCGGTGTCGACAGCTGCCGGCGAGCGTCACGGCTCGCGCCGGAGAGTGCCAGTGGAGCCGGCAGAGCGAGCCGAGAGCAGAGGGGCTCCACGCGCGGCGGGCACCGCCGGAGCGTTCAGTAGTGACCGGCAGCGGCAGCCAGTGGTGACCGGTAGTGACAGGAGAGAAACCAGTGGTGATCAGTCAGAGTTAACCAGTGTTGAGAGGAGGAGAGCCAGTGGTGACCGGAAGGTATTGAAGGTGATAGTGACGCTTTCCGGAGCTATTGGATACCGGTACTGGTGGTCATCACAGGCCCCTGCGACCAGAGCGGTGTTCGTTGTCGACGCCGGCTGCCATGGCAATGACCAGAGGTGTTTGAACGGGCTGGCACGTGCCATAGCTGGACGGAGGACACTCAGGACAGTGAATAGTGGACAGTGTAACTTCTATTGATCGGCACAACTTGGCAAAGAGTCTTCTTTCGGCGTCATGCCGCAGCGCTCGAGCGAACATCGGCATAATTCTCCTCAGAGGAAGGCTGGTCGGCACGAGCAGCGAGGTCGGCGGAGAGCGGACCATCCTGGCAGTCCCCCGCTGCACCCTGGAAGTCCCCCGCTGCACCCCGGCAGTCCCCCACTGCACCCGCCCTGGCACTCGGGCGGTCCAGCTGCACCCCAGCTCTGGCCTCAGCCGGTCATCGTGGACGGGAGGACTGCCTGGCTGCTGATGGACCAGCCCCCGGTACCGACGGAGAGGGGCCCGGTTATGATGGACAGGGTACCTGCGATGGCGGAGAGGGGACTAGCGCTGCCGCTGTTGGACCGTCACTATATGGCAACGGGTCCCGGACAGCACACAGCAGATGAGGCGGCCTGGCGTCGGCACGGCGACCCTGCGCTTCTACAGACTGGATACCAGCGAGTGCCGTGGTCCCCCGCGCCTGCCGACCAGCATCTGCCGCCTAATGACCAGCACCTGTCGCCTGCTGAGCAGCGTCCGCCCCAGGCTGACCCGGGTCGGGGTCACAAACAGAGACCACCCAGTCCGAGCGGTAACCGAGACAGGCGGAAACCCAGCTGGAAGATTTGTGCGCATGTAAGCTATATCATCGTCTCCCGTCTTCGAATACGCGAACTGGGTACAACGTAAACGTTACACCTGAATGCCCACACAGCAGCTACACATGTGAAACGGGTGTAACATATAATAACTAACTGCATGCATGATTTCAACCATCCTAAATATACACACACAACATGGCCTACAAACCGTTGCACTGATGCGCACCGAATTTATTGGACTACGCTTTGAAACTCTGCAAAATGGTTCCGATTAAAACGAAGATAATCGTCATGAAGTAGGTAATCGAACAGCACATGCTTTATGTGTATTGCATGTGAACTACGTACGATTTATATTGCAAATTTGATTCGCGCGCTCGCAACGAATCCTCTTTCATCTGGTTTGATTCGTGTCTATGTTTCCGCTCGGGGGACTGCTCGGGAAGCAGCGTCATCGAACGGCCTTTCGCTCTCGATGGCTGTGACCGGTGGGCGGCCGTCACAGTGGTGACATGTCACCGCGCTCCGAGCCAGTCACGGCACTGCGCACAAACCCTGTCTGGTCACCGCCGACACACACAGGCCGGACTTTCCACACTGGTGGCCGTGATACAGCGAGCCAGCCACAGTTGCAATTCACGGCCATCAAACGGAGCAGACAGCGCTCTGCAGTGGCCGGCGACCCGCGCCACTGCACACGGGTTCTTGTGGACACACAAGGTCGCCAGACTGCCATGTTGTCACCAGTCGCTGGTCACGGTTGCTAGCCATGAGGAGGAACGTGAGAGCGAACTGAGATAAGATGGAAAAGTTGACAGGGTTCTATAGCGCACTGCAGGCAGATAATGACCAACATAAGTGCCAACCCGCTACGGTATACTCGTAAAGGTGGTGTGTTTCAGTGCCAGTAACGTGCAAAAGTGAAATAAAGTATTGAGTGGTGGATCTATACCTATCGCATCTATTCTTTGAAGAAGACCGGATCTACCCAATACGTTTCATTGACTATCTGTTCCCTCTGTGTTTCAGTCGGAGCGGAGCGGCTCGGTGGAGCGTCCCCGGTTCATCCCCGTCACCTCCTTGGAGGATGTGCAGGCCATCCGCTGCGCCGAGTTCCACCCGTTCGGCAAACTGTACGCCATCGGCTCCAACTCGAAAACGCTCCGCATCTGCTCCTACCCGAAACTGGTCGACCTCAGGTGAGCGCGATCAAGCAGCACTACATTTACTTACCTCTTGCTGGAAGCTTAACTATTTTTTAAAGGTTTCAATACCCAAGGCTGTTGAGGAGACTCCGTGACATTTCGGAGGAACACATTTGACAAGCCACGTTGGACGTAAGCATATCCTAAACGTAAACGTGTTTCGTATTCTAAGTCGTCGCTCTACTCGTATGTAGAGCGACTAATGCGAGCTATTACGACAACTAGGTATCCAGCTCAACCACCATCTGCCCTCAGGGATGATCACGTGACCTGTCAGTCTTCTGTGGTGCTGAAGCGTCCCCGCCACCACAAGGGCTCCATCTACTGCATGGCCTGGAGCCCCGTCGGAGACCTGATCGCCACCGGCAGCAACGACAAGACCATCAAACTGATGCGCTTCGACGCCGACTCGTGCACTATGGAAGGTAGGCGGACGTAATAAGGGCTCTGGAGCCTGGGCACGAACTAGCCAGGTCACAGACAAACGGAATAGCCGCAAGGCTACAGCTGAAAATGATCCAGATGGATCAAAGCGTCCAGACTCTAGATACCTTCCCTTTTCTGCCCTCGCACCCACTTGTCTGATGCCTCTAGTCTATGCCCAAGCTCCCAAGCTGACCAGCAACAATGAAGCGTGCTGTGCCATTCAACCAAATCCGAAGAGCTGACCCTTTGTGCTGTCTCGCATCGCTGAACATACCTAACTTTCGATTTTACATCAGCGCGACTGACTCATCCGACGAGCTCTCCAGTCTCCACCACTCCAGCTGCCTGCAGCCGAGATCACTTCACGTTACACAAGCTCCCCGCATCCCACCGACAAAGCTGTTGCCGTTCTTTCCCAACGTCTCCCGCCACAAGTGGTCACGGCCGGTCGCCAATCTCGGTTCAGTAACGGCACCGGCCCGTGACTGGTCGGTGACGTTTAGCAAGCGTTACGTGACTGTGCAATCTGTTTCCGATCGTGACCACGCGGCACATGTCACCACGCGCGGGGGGACACGAAACGTGAGCGCCGCCCGCGACCCTCCGGATTTCCCACGATGCGAGGCACACTTTCTCGGTGCAAGATGCGGCGCGAATGGGTCCCGCGGCGTGGCGACACGACCATCCCGCGCTGGTCAGGAGGTGATCGAGGGAGCTCCCAGGACCGCACTCTCGCTTCGCGGCCCATCGATCAGCAATGGAGTTCGCGTGTAAAACGAGCTGTGAGCTGTGAGCGGCGCGCTGCTACTTTCGAACAATTATTCACATACTATAAATTAACTTTGAAGCGACCTTCTCCTTGATATTATGTCAAAAATGAAAGAATTATTTACATGTGCATTCGGGCACAGCCCATCATCAGATGTATATTTGAAAAGACAGCATATACATCGTCACAAAAACAAGAATCGACATTTCAAATTCAGCTCGTGAAAATGACACATCAGTATCCTTCGCGCCGTATGGTACCTATCTATATAAAACACACCTATAAACACACACACAAGCACAATTTTGGGGCACATACATACGATAAACTTGTTCTCACATGATACGCCACGAGGACAGATTTTCGTTCAGCCCAGGTTTTCTTTCCCTTATGTACAGTGATTCAGTAATTTTCCTATCCGGATGGTCCCTAGTTTTCTTCAAAATCCTAACCTCCAGTGGCGGGTCAGCCAGCTTTTCTGCCTTCGACATCCCCGCGTGACACTCTGAAAAATGGTCACCGCATCGGGGTAAGCTGTGTCTCGTTGGCAGCACACCTCAAATGCTCATTGTATCTAAGGCGCAGAGGCCGTTTCGACTCGCCGATATACTTAGCTCCACATAGCGTACAGGAGAGCTCATAAACCACGTTTTTGTCCGTGCACCTACCATTCTGCAACCTCCTGCAAGTGTTGCAGATCCTGTTGCCCGAAGGGCACGGTGGATCGCCAAACGATGAATGCACTAGCTTTTGTTTCAATGTCTCTGGCGTGTATGAGGCCACCGTAACATCCAGCCCAGAAGCACGAGCCGCCTTCTTCACCTTGCATAGCACAGTTTCATTGACATAAGGCAAAAGAAGGATCCCGCCAGACTTGTGACCTCTTCCTGCTCTTGCGCCCTGCCCCTCCCTACCATCAGCGCCAGGGGCAGCGTCGGGGACATCCCTAGTCGTATGTCTCCCTCGCCCTCCACGAGCTCCTCTACCGTCTCTACTGACCCTACGCAGCCGCTCTTTTCTTTCCACTTGTCGCCGAGTGCTCCTTAGCACGTGCGCAGGGTAACCATTTCTCGAGAACAGGTCACAGATTTTATCTAGGCTCCTTTGCTTAGACTCCTCATCAGAGGACAGTGCGATCGCGCGCGTCAATTGGGACCGCAGAGTGCAGAGCTTTGTCTGCTTGGGATGCGCTGAGCGGTAGTGGAGAATGATCCCCGCATTGTTAGGCTTGACATATAGCTCCGACTGGAATCGACACCTATCACCCTCCCGGTGCAATGTGATCAAGGTGTCCAGCATCGGGACGGCGCCCTCCCCTTCCCCAGACATCTCGTAGGTGAACTGTATCCTGGGGTTAATGCTGTCACCTATCTGAACAGCATTAACCCCAGGATACAGTTCACCTACGAGATGTCTGGGGAAGGGGAGGGCGCCGTCCCGATGCTGGACACCTTGATCACATTGCACCGGGAGGGTGATAGGTGTCGATTCCAGTCGGAGCTATATGTCAAGCCTAACAATGCGGGGATCATTCTCCACTACCGCTCAGCGCATCCCAAGCAGACAAAGCTCTGCACTCTGCGGTCCCAATTGACGCGCGCGATCGCACTGTCCTCTGATGAGGAGTCTAAGCAAAGGAGCCTAGATAAAATCTGTGACCTGTTCTCGAGAAATGGTTACCCTGCGCACGTGCTAAGGAGCACTCGGCGACAAGTGGAAAGAAAAGAGCGGCTGCGTAGGGTCAGTAGAGACGGTAGAGGAGCTCGTGGAGGGCGAGGGAGACATACGACTAGGGATGTCCCCGACGCTGCCCCTGGCGCTGATGGTAGGGAGGGGCAGGGCGCAAGAGCAGGAAGAGGTCACAAGTCTGGCGGGATCCTTCTTTTGCCTTATGTCAATGAAACTGTGCTATGCAAGGTGAAGAAGGCGGCTCGTGCTTCTGGGCTGGATGTTACGGTGGCCTCATACACGCCAGAGACATTGAAACAAAAGCTAGTGCATTCATCGTTTGGCGATCCACCGTGCCCTTCGGGCAACAGGATCTGCAACACTTGCAGGAGGTTGCAGAATGGTAGGTGCACGGACAAAAACGTGGTTTATGAGCTCTCCTGTACGCTATGTGGAGCTAAGTATATCGGCGAGTCGAAACGGCCTCTGCGCCTTAGATACAATGAGCATTTGAGGTGTGCTGCCAACGAGACACAGCTTACCCCGATGCGGTGACCATTTTTCAGAGTGTCACGCGGGGATGTCGAAGGCAGAAAAGCTGGCTGACCCGCCACTGGAGGTTAGGATTTTGAAGAAAACTAGGGACCATCCGGATAGGAAAATTACTGAATCACTGTACATAAGGGAAAGAAAACCTGGGCTGAACGAAAATCTGTCCTCGTGGCGTATCATGTGAGAACAAGTTTATCGTATGTATGTGCCCCAAAATTGTGCTTGTGTGTGTGTTTATAGGTGTGTTTTATATAGATAGGTAGGTACCATACGGCGCGAAGGATACTGATGTGTCATTTTCACGAGCTGAATTTGAAATGTCGATTCTTGTTTTTGTGACGATGTATATGCTGTCTTTTCAAATATACATCTGATGATGGGCTGTGCCCGAATGCACATGTAAATAATTCTTTCATTTTTGACATAATATCAAGGAGAAGGTCGCTTCAAAGTTAATTTATAGTATTATCAATGCTCCTTGCAAAAGCACTACATGATATACCTGTGTCTAATAACGAAATTATTCACATACAATGGGTTGAGTAGGTCAACGAATAGTTTGCTAGACGTGAAACTGCATTCAGTCACCTCAGAATGCATTATTGTTCCTACATATGGTAAATGTGAGAGCATGAATATACAAAGACGCATTAATTCACTCTATAAACGGCGCTGAATCCTTCCTAATAATCAGCAGCTTTCAATCGGTCTCGCGTTTCACATCTCGTGTCACCACCTTCTTCCAATGTTTCCAATGACGTCATATCCCCAACTCTCCCCCGTCTTCAATGTCGTCACACAGAGCCGGCTGCCGAGCTGACGATGCACGACGGCACTGTGAGGGACGTGTGCTTCATCGAGGACATGTCCAACAAGTCCAGTCTGCTGGTGAGCGGCGGCGCCGGCGACTGCAAGATCTACGTCACCGACTGCGCCACCGGGGTGCCGTTCCAGGCGCTGTCCGGTCACACAGGTCAGTGACCTAGGGTCTGTTAGGCCACAAAGGTCAGTGACCTGGGGACTGTTATGTCACACAGGTCAGTGACCTGGGGCATTGCAGCTTAGGGGTCAGTGACTCAGGAATTGGCGACCTAGGGAGTCCCTTCCCTAGGTCCTAGGTCCCTAGTCCCTGGACAGTCCCTAGTAGGGACTGTCCAGCATGCAGATCAGTGGTTAGGGCTGTTGGATCACATAGGTCAATGACGGGCGATGAGAGCTCATTCAGGCTCATTTAACCCGCGCCCCACTGGGGGGGGGGGCTATTTATAGCCCCCCTCCCGTTTTTCTGCAATAACTTCCAAACCGCTTAACGTATCGACGCCAAACTTTCAGTACCTTCGGCTGCATCAATTTGACACCTTGTGTCAAAATTTTAACTTCGTACCTACATTAGGTCGGCCGGAAATGACGTCAGAGTGACGTCATGTTCGGCCGATTTCGACGCAAAACATTGAACCACGGCAATCGCTCCCAAGAGCTCAGTTTTTAAGCTAGATCCAATTTCTTTGCATGAGAGGACTCAGAATAGACTGCGCTATCAAACTGCTATCTCGGATTTTCAAAATTTTGAAAATTTCGAAAATTTAACATAATAAAATTCAAAATTTATATTTTTACATTTTTTTTCAAAAAGTTTTTGACTTTTCGAAAAAAACGGAATATATGTGATAGAACGCATTATTATGACTAACTCTAGCAAGTTTTAGCTAAATATCTTCAAAAATGGCCAAGTTATACGAATTATTGCAAAAAATTAACAATTATTTATTTTTCAAATCAATTTTTCAGCACGAATTTGACATCGTACGCCAATATAAATAGCACCATCGTGTTCCTGAGCTCAAACTGCATCCAATAGACACCTTTTTTGTTGAAAAAAATTTAACTTCAAAATTTGACCTTTTTTGACCTAAAAGTGACCTGACCTAAGCTAAATTTGACTCAAAATGACCTCGAATGACACAGACGACATCAAATTCGAAATGTTTGGCCTAAATGGACCATAAAACATGTGTCACGTGACCGACGGATGATATAATATTTTCGTGACCTGTGATGACCTGACCTTGACCTGAAAATCAAAGTACAAGTTTGGTACCCTCAGAGTATCTAGAGCATCTGCTCACGAGTGTGTGAACCAAAACTGAGCCTGATCTGACTTGTAAGACGGCGGCCAGAGCCCAAAACGTGACGAAGCCAAAATGCTAATAATTTTTACTTTGACCTGACCTGTGACGTCATCGGTGACCTCGAGGTCAATGAAATTAGGTTTCGCTCAACAGTTTTTCCGGGGCTATCAGACGCCATTTGAATTTTGACGATCGGCCCAGTAGTTTCGGAGTTAGGAGGGGGGGCTATGAATAGCCCCCCCCCCCCCCCAGTAGGGCGTGTTATACGCAGACCCCAGTGGGGCGCGGGTTAATGGACCTCATCAACCGCTTTATGACCATCCTCACAAAAATGACCCTCAGGACGATGTCTCTCGCTCTTCAGAAGATACCACGCGCTCTCACACCTCCACCCTTGCTCTCCGACAGGCACCGTGCTCTCACAGGCTCGACAGGCTCTCACACCTCCACCCTCGCCTTCCTACAGGCACCGTGCTCTCTCTAAGCACCTGGGGCGGCGCCATGTTCGTCTCCGGCAGCCAGGACCGCACCGTCCGCGTCTGGGACCTGCGCTCTCGCGGCTGTGTGAACCGCCTGCAGCCACCCAGCGTGCACACGGCCAGCCGCGGCTCCCCGGTGGCCTCCCTGGCCGTGGAGCCGTCCGGTCGACTGCTCGTCTCCGGCCACGAGGACTCGTCCTGTGTGCTGTATGACCTGAGAGGTGACCGGGTCATCCAGGCGTTCCGGCCGCACGACGGCGACGTGCGCAGTGTGCGCTTCTCGCCGCACGCCTTCTACCTGCTGACGGCGGGTTATGACAACCGGCTGGTGCTCTCTGACCTACAGGGTAAGAAACGCGTCGACGGGAACGTCGTGGAGCGCCGTGTGCCATTGCGGAACCCAGATTTATTTCATGCCACAGGGAACGCGCAGAGGTGTCCCGCTTATAGATGGAAACGTGGGTAGTACCACAGATGGCCGAAATGTCAGGAGAGGCATGCCACACATCTCTCGAAGCTTAGAAAATGGATCTTGCATGCCGTAGTGAAACTGTTGCCCACACTGTCTGGGAACTAATACGGCTGTACGCGGGAGAGTAGAACATTCTCCGTCAGTTGGTCAGCGGGGCCAGTTCCGCGGCCTTGATCCGTCGCCGGCATGCACGTTGCACGGCTCCGACTCAATCAGTTACGGACAGTTACCGCGTTAGAAAGCACTTAGCGTGTCATTTCTGGCAGGTCGCCGCAACTGAGCCGTTCTGTGGCGGCAATTTATCACAGGCTATATATAGCAACGTTTTAGCGTAATTAGAACACGCCCCAGAAATATGTCCGGGTGGCCCATTACTTATATAGCAAATACCGTTTTGATAATGGTTGTATGTCATTGAAGAATGCCAAGTCAGCTCCTAATAACAAACAGCGCGTAATTTCACAGCTCAGCTGCTAACATTGCATAGGTACTCACTACATAGGTAGTTATATTCAGAAAACGGCTACTTTCTACGGTTCAGAGAAAAAACTCAGGCCTTATTGAAAATGATAGCCAACGTCTAGCTGACCCTTATGCGCTGGTGACTTGCAAGGTTGAAGGAGAAATCGTACTGTTGGAACTGGGAGCATGATGGATCATGGTGACGCACGATATACGTATTTGTCATGAACACTGAACAGCCAGCTCTGAACGCTAACGGTTAATCGCTGATGGATGACTCCAGATGAACTTTTATCTATTGTGAGCTTTGACCCTCCTCTGTGACCTCAGGTGACTCCCTATACACGTAGTGACACATGAACCTTCCCTCTGTGACCTCAGGTGACCTGACGATGCCGCTACCGTCGGTCGTGGTGGCGCAACACCAGGACAAGGTGATCACCGGCCGCTGGCACCCGTACGAGTTCAGCTTCCTCTCCACGGGGGCCGACAAGACGTGTACTCTGTGGGCGCTGCCACCCGTCTAAGGGCACCCGGGAGAGCCCGAGGAAAGGTAGAGAACTCTACGGGCAGGACAGTACGAGAGATGGCGAGACGTACGGAGAGATGCTTGGCAGGTCGCAGGACGCTCCATGAGGTGGAGAGATCCGAGCGTGAGAAGGTTATTAGAGTAAATAAAACTGAGGACGAGTGCTCCCAGTGAACTAGTGTGTGGCATGAGGAGAGGAAAAGTGAGTAACGAGAAATGCCGAAACAACAGTAAGCACCTCAGTATGTTATTAAGTTGTCTCTATTACCTTCAAGTCACAGTGGGATATTGCGGTATCTGTCATTGATCGTTGTATTCAAACGGGAGTGTACAGTTTCAATTTTATGACAGACTTTATCTGTGCAGCTCGTAGCAGCCAACTGTCCTCAATGCTGATGAAATACTCTCGACGGATGTGCATGGACTGTGTGCGTTGTGTATTTCAGCCTGACAGCGCTGAGCGCCTGATCGGCGATTGACGATGACGATGTTTAAAGTCCGCTAGTCGGCATGACATTGGACTGTAATCTGATGCTGGTGAGCCGTCCAGCTCGATTCACAAGAAAGAAGGGTGAGTAGCCGTCCGTGGCCCTCGTGTTACAGGAAAGACTGGATGTATCCTTGTCCGACAAACGAGTAGGAAAGACGACTCGTTTAGTACGGGAGTCAAATGGAAGAGTGAACGCATCCATGATTGGTCCACGAGTCACAAGTAAAGGGTGAATGTATTCGGTCACGAATGGCCAGTTGTAGCGCAACCTGGGCTACCACTTCCCACAGACCCGATCGTGGGCGGGCCAAGCGTTTCGCCGTGGGAAGTCTTAGGGAGACAGATTATCCCAGAGTTATGTGGGCTGTCTAAATGTGGTCTAAATGTCTGGGCGTGCCGCATTCCCGAGTGTTGAAACTGAGGCTTGTCGATGCTACGCATGGCTGTCACAAGAGCAATCCATTCACAGCAAATTCAATGCAGTCCGGCACTGGGATATGAAGGTAGAGAGAGGCCATTGGCCAATGTTGTGACAGTGTAGCTAGCTGAGAAAGCGCTGGTCGCTGTGAAACGGAACGAGTTGGGGGATCGGTCACTGCTTGATGCAACGACGCAACTATCTATCTAATCGCGCTGAACGTTCCGTGTGTGTAACGTGTGGATTGCAACGACAATATACTATGGCAATGCGTAACTATTGTTCTGTAAGCACTGAGACACGGCATACGCATCGTTTTATGAACTCATCTGGAAACTCAGCATCGAAGTAAAGGCCTGGCTACACTATGCGTTTTCTTTGTGCGTTTTTTGCGTGTTTGCGTGTTTTGCGTGATATCGTTCTAGAAAAAAGAACAATATTACGTTTTTGTGATGTTTTTCACCTTAAATTTTAGTTACATAAGAGTTATATTAGCTTTTGTATATAACCAAAGTAAAAATTATATTGCTAGTAACTTTTTTCCTAGAACGATATTACGCAAAACACGCAAACCTGCAAAAACGCACGCAGAAAACGCATAGTGTAGCCAGGCCTTAAGTGTAGGTATGCATAGTTTAATAAGATATTCTTATTGCACTGCTCCAGAGGCATAACGATCACCGTCTGCGGGAAACAGCGATGCAATTTCTACGAATGGCTTACGTTTTTTGGTAAGCAATAAGCATGATGTCTGACGTGTATCAGATCGAAGTCACGCGCGAAATACAGGATACTCGGGAATAAAACACTCAGTAGAAAAAGAAAAAACATTAAAGAGAACCGTTTAAAAGTCGGGTAATATATTATCATCAATGTGACAAACAACATCCCGCATCTATTTGTACAATTAGTGAAATCCACTGCCACTGAACTGCACAGTGTCCAGGGATGTCCGCACTACACACGCCTTCGCACGCTGAAACCTTTGTTCTCAATGTTTGACTAAATTCCACGAACATTCACGCATATCTGGGCGGCAGGTAGGTCGCTACACCCTTCTTCGACAGAAGATCGAGAGGTGTTCCGAAATCGTTTCGATAAGCAAAGGTCAAAAGTCACACATTCGAGGAAATGTGAAGACCAAGTGGCATATCAACCGAGTGAAGAGACAACGCAAGATCGGACATTAGCCGGAGATTAATGCCAATTAGCTCAGAGGTCGTTGATTTCAGTGCCTTCTCCACAAAACTACATCCTGCACTCATTAGAATAGGTACTTGAGTCAACCCTTCAAGTTCATACCGCGTTTCAATAACGTTCAATATGTGACTGCAGCTATGGATAAAACTTAGCTGAAACGATGGCGAATGACAGCTATAGATAATAGCGATGACTGCTTAGCTGTGGTACGGATATTGAGCTCGTATGCATCTCAGCAATAGCTCAGATGTATTTTTCAGACATGGGTTCTGTGCTCCGGACAATTACTGCAGGCCCGACCATTTTGATGCTGGTAATGATTGTCGTCCGAATTACTTGTCAGTCTCGTCCAGTAGATATGTTCAGCGGGGCCCATTAGATTAGTTCGTGGCACATGCCACATAATTTATCAGACTGGTGACACGCATTCCCTTCCTGACCTCAAGAGAATGAAAGTGGCAAAAGCTCATCACAAAATCGGCATAAAATACACAATTTTTAATTTGCTTCTATATGTTAACGGTACGACTCTGAAGGGTAGGGTAAGCCAAAATTTTTGAACTGTGATAAGATAATGTTAGATAATACACGACCACGACATAAGACAGACTGCTGTTAAATTAACAGACAAAGTAGATCATCCAATAAAACGGCATACAGGGATAAGGAAGCACCACTGCCACCACTGGCCAGACTGACGTAAATAATTCAGTAACCTGTCCACCTAACAGTCATATATTGCCTTGAACTCTTCAGCAGAGCTTGGCTGGCCATATCACATATTCGCCTGACTTCCTAACAACCACCTGACGTCAAATCATCATAATACTAACGCTATCTCGCCACCTGATTTCTAGCTCGTCACCCGTTGCTAGCAATAGCCGACTCCACCGCTGCCAGCACACATCACTCCCCGCTTCTCCTCACCTCAACTCTGCCGTCCACCGCCACAGCTCTGTCCGAGAAGCTCGATTCCAGCGCCTCCAGTCCACATTTTCCTAGAGCCGCCCGTGGCGCTGTCATGCCTCGCCGTTGTAGTACTGCGACTGCCAGAGGCGCGTGTAGAGACCGTCGGGGTTGCGCAGCAGCTCGGCATGCGTCCCGCGCTCGACGACCCGGCCCTCGCCCAGCACCAGGATCTGGTCGGCGTCGAGCACAGTGGAGAGACGGTGAGCGATGCAGATGGAGGTGCGTCCCTTGGTGGCCCGCCGCAGCGCGTCCATTATGTTCTGAAAACGGGCCAGGGGCAGCGGTTGGTGGTAGCCGGTGGGTGGCAAGAGCAAAGAGCATAATGCCAAGATTGGCGAATAGAAACGCCACGATGCTGAAAATGACGCAGATAGTACGCAGTTCTATAACTAGGACGCAGCTCTACCGGAAAAATGGTGCACATGGATAAACAAAGTGGATAGTGGCATATCATCTAAGCCGATCAACCCCAACTCAGTCATTTCGTAAATGCAGCAGGGGCTGGTCATGGTACTGAACGGCGCAGGGGCAAGCTACACTTGACGGTGCTAGGTACTCACCCCTTCTGTGATGGAGTCCAGAGATGACGTGGCCTCATCAAAGATGAGGATCGGCGAGTCCTTCAGGATGGCGCGAGCGATGGCCACCCGCTGCTTCTCGCCTCCGGAGAGTTTCAGACCACGCTCTCCTACCTGAGAGCAGCAATAGAGAAGACACACTTACTCATGCGTCACTGTCAACGGCTGAGCCGCTAGTAAGGCAAAGGATGGAACAACTCGAATATGGAAGGCGGGACAGATACCGTCGCACTTCCTTGTCAGCATTTGATGGGATATTGCATAAAAAAGAATCTAACATAAGCGACTCACTTGCGTGTCGTATCCGTTGGGCCAGTTGAGGATGGAGTCGTGTAGGTCGGCCATTTTAGCAGCCTCGTACACGTCTTCCTTGGGCCGGCTCAGGTCTCCGTACGCCAGGTTGTGGTAGATGGTGTCGTGGAACAGCACAGAGTCCTGACAACAAACGAGAGGGTTGGAATAACCAAAACCACACCACCGTAGACATAAACAGCACGGACAAAACGGACAGGTAGTGAGTATTGCAAAGGCTAAATCCGTGCGGACTTCTCAGTTCATTCATGAATAATTAATAGAAAACTTTGCATAGGACCCGTGACGAAGGAAAATTGTAGAATACCATTCCGGTATCACGGGCTAGCATCGATTTCTGCTCCTGAAATCCTCCTTGTGGGGGGTCCTTCCCTCTCACCTGCGGTACGACAGCGATGGATTTCCGCAGTGACTCGAGATCCACGTCCTGAATATTCTGGCCGTTGATGGAGATCGATCCAGAGCGGGGCTCGAAGAACCGGTACAGAAGGCGGATCACGGTCGACTTCCTGCGGAGCAACAGAGGGGACTTTTGAATATCCGCAAGTGAATCACAACACTCTCAATATACGAGCAGCTAAATGAGCCAATGTGAAAAATGAGTGAGCGCAATCAAAGTGGTTTCCTCTTCCTAATTGAAAATGAAAATACACGAATACCCCAGACGAAAACGATCCATCGAACATGCTTCCTGATCACTGAATGTTATCGCTCGACCACCTACCCACGCGAGTTATCACATGGCTCGCAATCCCGTGCTGGTGCCCACACCGCACGCAGACACTGGACACTCACAGCTCTCTAACTAAGCCCACAGAAGACAGAGTGCCAATACCAAATAATCGGAACCAACCACTGAAACTCTAAGCGGCATCACATAGCCCCAATATGCCACCAAAGCAATACCGTTATCGTTCCTACCCGGATCCGGATCCGCCGACCAGCGCCACCTTGTGTCCCGGCTCCACGCTGAAGCTCAGGTCCCGCAGGATCGACTGGTCGTTCAGGTAGCGGAACGACACGTTGTCGAACGCGATCGACGCCGTCTCCGGAGTGACAGACAAAGCCGGGGCCTGCAGCTTGTTCTGTGGACACAGTACAGCGTGTCAGGATAGTGGTAGTGAGGGATGCACATAATGACCTCCATGACGATCGTTAACCACGTCCTATAATTTGATATACGCAGAACACAACGTAATAGGTACCGAGAGGGAAAAGACAACACAAGCCATAAGCTTGAAAAACACATGGAAGGTTCGGAAACAAAGATCTAAAAAAATACATGAATGAAAAGTATAATTTTGTAAGGAGGTCATTCAAAAACAATTAAACCATAATAAAAGTCAACGAAGGCGCGGACAAAGAGCGGTGTTGACTGACCTGGACTTTGGGCTGCACGTTGAGCAGTGTGAACATGGCCTTCATGTCGATCAGAGCCTGGCGGATCTCCCTGTATACCGAGCCGAGGAAGTTCAGCGGGATGGAGAGTTGGAAGAGCAGGCCGTTCACCATCACCAGGTCACCCACCGACATGTTACCTGTACGGAGAGTGTTACTAGGGCGATATCTCAACATCACGATATCTCGATATCTCGATAGCAGAAATCACTATTCGCCAAAACACTATGTAGTCAGTCAGATGATCTACTACAAAGCGTCTGTCAAAGAAAACAGCCAATCAACTATGTCTCCTACCAAAGGACGTCCCTCTAACGTCGCCTAGGGAACCCAGTGAGTAAGATTAGTTATCGAGCTCAGTGATCGGACCTAAGTTATTGCTCAAGGAGATTCGGTCACGCATCCCAAAACAACGGGACTAGGACCGACAGCTACCACTCGATCATGCATACGAAATTCCCAACAAGCAAATGGAGCCCCATACTCACAACAGACCTCAAAATACAGAAAAATTAAGACCCTTGGACGAAGGAAATACGCACCGTTAACGATCTCTCGACTCGCCAGCACCATGATGGCTGCCAGCGCTGTGCTGAAGATGGCGTTCTGCGAGAAGTTGAGCAGCGCCAGAGAAGTGGTTGTCTTGAGCGAGGCGTGCTCGTACTTGGCCAGTACGGCGTCGTACTGGTCTGCCTCGTACTTCTCGTTGTTGAAGTACTGAAAACGGAACAAGACCAGTCAGATTTTGCGTTGGACAGCGGACATGGGGACTGTTGACAGATGAACATTGCTGTCGGTTTCAACTCATTCACAGCACAATCTAAAGCTTTTAACACAAATATGTACGCTCGCTGTGTAACGAAGAGCCATGACTGGGGCTCGTACAATGAGGTGCGCCATCGTGAAAACCTATCAATCTTCAACACTCACCTTAACGGTCTCGTAATTGATGAGCGAGTCGACGGCCTTGTTGCCGGCCTCGTTGTCGGCTTTGTTCATCTGAACTCGGAACTTGGTGCGCCACTGGGTGATTCCCAGAGTGAGAGCCGTGTACGCAGCGATACACGACAGCGTCACACCGGCAAACGCCGGCCCGCAGCTGTACCACTGTCATAGGGAGGTCGGGTCTGGTCAGGATACACCAGATATCCATCAGTGGACGTAAGAATCAGTGGAGGAAAGAAATTGAGTGAATCGTGCAAGGTAACTAAACATTTCTGATCTGCTCGTCTGTGTGGATTCTTGAAACCACTTGATTAAAATCATTTTTGCACTTCAGTTCATCGGTTATCGAAGTCCATCTCCACTTAATTAGGAAGCACATGTCGCCACATTGTGTCTAGCCCATAAAAATACCTATCTATAGTTAGAGTTGTCGATATTACCTGCCTATTAGAGTTCTGTCAAATGCATCACTCACCAGTATGCCGCTGACGAGACTGACTTCGAAAATGGTGGGCACCACGTTAAACACCAGCGCCGAGAGGGCGAAGTTGATGCCCCGGCTGCCTCGGTCGATCGCCTGCGGGGACCAGCACACACGGAAAGGGCGTCAAAATAGCATTACTGAGGATCCCACGAGAATATCGCAAAGTAGATGTATGTAAGCGCAGAGCGTGAATCCGTATTGTGGATCAAAGACCCTTGTACACCTGTGTACGTACAGAGGCCTATGTGTGGATGTGTGTACTCGCTGCATATCACATCACCTGTCATTTTCAGTGGTAATCTAAAATTATTTGCTTCATTTCCTCGTGAATAACGAAGGCTCTGTGGGAGACGTAGCCCAATTCAAGGTGTAGCATCAATATTTTAATGGAAAATCTTAAATCGCTGATCCGACGTGTCTGAAATGACCTACAGTACGTCCTGCTATCAGTACCATATTCTGTGTCTTACGTTTTTACAGAAGTAGCTAATGATCAACTTTCAAGATGAACCATATGCCCTGGCAAGGTAACAGAGTGATCTCTGTTGCTGTTTTGTGCATGCATGGATGCAAAAAACCTCTGTCTATACCCGACGCAATCCCCTCAAATGCTGTCATTGTGTAGGTGAGGAGAGGCAAACTTCACGAGCTGGGGGTCAAAGCCTAGGGTGCTAGTGGAAAGTGAGGACCTTGTGCACAAAGCTGTAAGTAAATACATAGGCAGTTAGATAGCAGACATGATGTCTTTGCTGATTACCATAGTGGAACTATCAAGCTGTAAGCAATATTGTGCCATTTAAGGGCAGAGTGGGCTGAAGCATGCCTAACCTATGTAGCTCAATCTTTCATTAAGTGGCAGCATCTCACTGACCTAATAGATACAGAGAGTGGCTCCTGGAACAAGGCTATTATATCATTTTATCGTTTCTATTATCAGTGCTGAGCAGAACTTGTTGTTTGAGACCCTGACCCCTTCCATCCGATCACACAATTCTAAGTAACAGGATAATTTAGGCGTCAAAATGTGATGAGCCCATCAAAGCCGGACAGACCTGTCCCAGTCAACCGATTTCAACTGGCTGCGGTGGCTTTCATCAACAGCAAGACACCGCCGCGTGGAGCCTCAAATATTGAGCGCCGTAGCGACTTGAACCCGGGCTCTCACTACCAGGAGTCCAACGCTCTACCAACTGAGCTGAGGGACACGCCACTCGGCATACATAGTGTCAAATGTCAGATCAATTAAACATTTGGGTGTGCACTGTGCACTGATTTGTCGTTTCGTCTATCAGTTTTAGTACAGACTATAGGTTCTCTCGGATAAACTATAAGTTACGTCACATTCGGCCCACCGCTAGCTCCGTTCTGACCACATTCGGCATGTGCTGTCACATCAGACAGAGTTGACAAGGGTTGACGCTGTGCGGTCACAGCAATTCATGCTCTCCCTGGTAACCAATTTTGCATGGATAGCTCGGAATTAGCATTATCTATCCTTATCCTGTAAGTACTCTTTACTTTGGAAACTCGATGCTTCTTTTTGCTTAGGTAGTGTGCCAATTTCCAATTTTTCATGCGTTACATAATCTTAAAGTGCAAGCTCGTGTTATATAACAAAGTGACGAATCACCATTTGCGCTATATCGACCGCTATTGGTAAATGGTCGACCATGTCCACAAATGGCAGTGGTGCGTATTGGAACTGAAAAGCGGCAGGACACTTCAGCGACGAGCTAGTCCATTGACTTAGCCATTCTGACGTGCACGTGCTGCTTACATTGGGTGGAAATCAAACATTGTCTTGTCTCGAAATGATCGAAGGTAGTACGATGGTAAAAGCACATCGCTAGCGCGTTGTCCTTTTTGTTTGAGGCTTTCTTTTGATGCTCCATAGGGCAGGCATACTGACAATTACGCTGCCGCTGCTGCTGACCTATTTATATCGAACAACACCTGAGCTTCACCAGTCTTGTACATGAGCTTCTATTGAAGTGGCGCCGCAGGCATTTCCAAAATTTTTGAACAAGAGGAAGCTGCTGAGGCACAAAGCTAACCTGGTCTTCGGTAGAACTCCCTATCCGAAATGAGGATTCGTTTTCTGCGAGTGGGTCCGTCGCCGCTCCGCTCGCCGGCCGGCCCTTCTGAACCTGGGGACGCGAAGTGTGCCGACGAGCGCATCGAGCTGCCGTCCGGCGCCTGTCGCTCGTTCGTCCGCCTGCTGAGTGCCGCCGGCCTGCTGGCTGGCAGCGGCTGGACTCCCGTCGTCGGCGCGCTGGTAGCCTTCCTCATACACTCCATCGTTGGATTCACCTTCGCCATATTTAGCCTCGAGGCGTTTAGAGAGGATCAGCGCGCCGGAGAGCCGTTCTTCAGATCGTTTTTCCAGTCGAACTTCATTGGGATTCCCCTGGCCATGATCTACCTGTCTCTGATGCTGTCGCTGACCGTGGGCCGGCGCCGCTACAGCCGTGTGCTGTCCGACCTCTGCAGCGTTCTGAAGGAGTTGGAGCAGCTGCCACAGCCCGTCACCTCGCGGCTACGACCGAGCACCATCGGTGCGGCCATGTGGGCGCTTACTGCTGGCGTGACGGCCATTTATTTCGCCACTAAGGTACATACCATCGTGTGGGTGTGCAAAATAATACCACCTCCTGTCGGTGTGAGTCATCACTTATCGTGCGCAGAGTGGGTTACACTGACGATCGGTCTCGCCTTCTCCACCGTCTCCTTCGCTCTGATCGCCATGAAGTTCGTCCTCGCCGGGCTGCTGCTGGCGCACGGTCTTCAGCAGGTGAACGGCAGACTGGAGGTACTGGCTGCCGCCCCCGCCGCTGCTACTGACACCACCGCCACTGCTGAGGCGGTTGGTGTCGAAGCCGTCGCCGAAGCCACCCAGGCTGATGTCACGCGTGTGGAAGCCGCTGCGCCGCCGCTGTCGGATGAGGCCGAGCTGCGTCGGCTCGGTCGGCTGCACCGCCGTCTGTCGGAGGTGACCAGCAGCCTGTGCTCCGCCCTGTCCACGGAGCTGGTGATGCTGAGCGCGGTGGCCGTGCTGTCGCAGGTGATGCTGGCTGCGCTGCTCTTTTACCCGCTGCAGGACGTGGCCTTCCTGCTGCGCTACCTGCCGCTGGCGGCCGTCGCGATGGGTGGACCGTGTGAGACCTGCCAGCAGCTGCTGAACCGGCTGGACGCCGGCCGCCGGCTGCTGCTGCGGCTCGAGTGGCACCGCCCGCAGCTGGCCGGCGCCGTCGGCCCCCTGCTGAGGAGCATCGACCACGACCTGGAGACGGCCGGCGACCTGGGCCTGTTCCGGCTGCGCCGCTCCACCCTGCTCAGCGTCTGGTCCACCATCGTCACCTACATCATCGTCATGGCGCAGTTCAAGATGTCTGAGACGCCGACAGCCAGTGCGCCGTGATCCAGGACGACGTGACACAGCGCGACGTGCTACACGTCATACAGCAGGCGATGCGTAGCTGTACTAGCGATAGGTATAGGTAGCCCACATAATTAGCAGCATGAATTTGATTAGAAGAGAGCCAGATCACGCCACTCCCAGTCTATGTAAAGCCTTCTCCCCTCGGGTCTCACCTTGGAGAGCGCTCCCGTCTGCCGGCTCAGGTGGAAGCTCAGGTCGAGCTCGTGCAGGTGCAGGAACACGTTCTTGGCCACCTTCCTGATGGAGCGCTGCGCCACGGTGGCAAACACGGCGTTACGCAGCTCGTTACCGGCGGCCGCTCCGGCGCGCGCCAGACCGTCTGAGGGGCGCAGGGGGTGGGTGAGGGGAAGAATAGGGGAAGACCAAAAGGAGAAGAGCACAAGCAAGATGAAACGGGGTAGTACAGAACAAATGTAAAAGTAAAACAACTATGTGAGAAAGAATACTATACAACAAAGAACTTATGAATGTCACCCAGATTCGCGTTGTTTCAACACCACACGACACTTTCGAGCAGCAGACTGTAGGGCTGCTACATTGCCCTCTCCCCAGTCTGGCCTCCTCACTCCTCCGTCTCCCAGCGTTAAGACCGGTCCCATTCCACTCACATCCGATCACCAGCGCCGTGGCGTAGGTGGTCACTGTGCTGACCGGCTCGGCCAGCGTCAGCATCTCTCCCGTGTGCGTGTTCAGGTAGTCCACCAGCGATTTGAATATGAACGGCACCTGGACGTTTAGCAGTTTGGCGCCGGCTAGTAGACCGACGGCGGCCACCACTCGGCGCCGGCTCTCCTTGTCGTCCTGGTTAACACGGGGAGGTCAGCATGTGGGGCGAGGGGCGCTTTATGTACGCCGGGTACAGGTTATGCACAGGATGGACGTTATCTCTGTAGCGCACACGGATGCGACTTCCCTTCGATGTAAGTAGGATAAAAACAAGGTTGAAAACGCATACAACACGGGTAACATGGATAGCGATCATTTCGGTCTTACTAGAGGATAAAACATCATACGTTATTATCTCTCGTAACTGCTGATTTCAGGCGGGAAATACATTTATATGTTACACCCTCGACGAGATACCAAACCATATCCATACCATACTACCATTCCTTGGACCTTACTCAAGCAACTTACCTTCGGCCAGACGTATCCGAGCATAGTTTTGACCATTTGTGAGGAGGAGACATCCGGTCCCTGCAGAGGACCGAGGCTCTCTTGCGAGAGCGTCGAGGCTCCTGGGTGAAAGCAGCCACGGACTAGGGGAGGGCTGGCAAGCAGACCTGCAGCATACGGCACCCGGCGCCCCAGAGCGTCAGACGAGTGAAAAAAACGTCTTTGTACACCAACACCTTACAGCACAATTTAGCGCGGTGCCGCATTTGACGAAAAAAGGCACGCCCTAGCTAGAAGAATCTTGGAAGACCCTATGCGTGCAGTTCACAGTTGAGTAGAAAGAAAAATGTCGCGTGGTCCGTAATAATAATCGATCACACGTCAAGAGGGCAAATTATTTACAAGAGCATCACCAATGGGATCAGCACTTAGCACTATTGAAACAATGATCTACGTTAACAGAAAAGGCACGTGATAGCCGTTCCGACATGCAACATCTTCCGTCTGTCATCCACTCAGTCTCTTCACTGCGAAACTCCAGAAGCGACCAGAGAAGCCCGCTCGCTACCGCGTCTCCTCCGATTCCACTATCCTCCGTCTCTCAACTCAATATACCCTGTCAACTCCTCCATCCTGGCTACTCTCGAGTCTCTCAATATACCCTATGTCAACTCCTCCATCCTGGCTACTCTCGAGTCTCTCAATATACCCTATGTCATCTCCTCCATCCTGGCTACTCTCGAGTCTCTCAATATACCCTATGTCAACTCCTCCATCCTGGCTACCCTCGAGTCTCTCAATATACCCTATGTCAGCTCCTCAGCGCGAGTCTTACGTCTGCGGCCGCGGCTGGGTCCGGCGGCCAGCCAGTGCGCACCGGCGGTGACGGCCGCTGGAAGCAGGCGAGCGGCGAGTCGGGAGGAGCGACGTCTGTTCAGAGCGCTCTGTGCACAGTGGTGTGGGCGCGGGAGGGACGCCAACAGGGGGAAGCGGGCACACACAGCGGCAGCGGGGCGTTTAGAGCGAGCGGGAGCGGCACCAAGCAGCGTGCGAGGAGCTGAGAGCTACGGAGGAGAGCACTACAAACGGAGGACAACACAGTGGTTAGATGTAATGTTGACAAGACAATTGTGTGCAGTTTACAATAAGGATGTAAATTAGGAGTGTTCAGTGTATCATGTCCAATAAACCACTATTTACATCTATTAACACATCACAAGATTGCAACAAAAGGACGATGGTTATCTGTGTGTACTGCATGTTTTCGGGCTAAAATAACTCTTGAAACAAGTGTTACCATTTTAAAGAGGTTGATGGGTAAATGGGTACAGTCTAGAGGTCAAAATACAGTACAGGAGTGCTAGTTCTAGATTCTACTATTCAAAATGGTTTATTCTCGAGGGTCCTTAGTAAACGAGTCACTTCGTCTTAGGCGCTACGAAATATACCCGGTCGGAGGCAAGTAGGTATACGGAAAATTTAGAAAGATTCTGATCCGGTTTGATCAGAATAGCACAACATGTTCGGTTGAACAACTAGAGTTCAAGGCGAAAGAAAGGTTACAAAAAGTGTTTGCAGTGTAAACATTCCCCATTTGACAGGGCGGAAGCGTAGAAAACCTCACCAGAGCCAAATCCAGATCCACAATCTCGCACGGCACGCCACCTCTCCGGCAATATTCCCCAGCCCGCCCCGTCGGCGGTCACTGACCTGTGTGGGGCGCTGGCCAGGTCAGGCGCGCCCGCCGGCACAGCGGGCCGCCGCGGATGGTCAGCCGCCAGAGCAGCATGGCAGGCGGCCGGCGGAGCTCGTCGGTCCGCCCGACCTCTCAGACCACCAGCACCTCAGGAGAGGGGCAGTGCCGCTCAGCTGGCAGCGTCACCGGGCCTCCGCCACCTCACTGCGTCCCGCCGCGGCCGGCCCACTGAAACGTGACGGAGACGGCGGTCACACATAGGCGCGTGAATACCAGGCAAGTGCCGCGTCATGGTGACAGGGTCGAGCGATAGTGGCACCCTTCAGTCGCACTCAGATGGAGTGGCAGTGGAAATTGGTGCGGGTACAGGTCAACTCAGTCGGACGGCTTCACAAGTTTCCCACATCTGATTGACCTGCAGTCAGCTAGGGTTTGGGCATGCATGTGGTGCGTGTCGGGGTAATCGTGAAGAATCGTCGAATATTACAACTGCATATGTGGATCAAAAGTAAGGCCAAAGATTTTCGTCGAGCTCGTCATATTTGATCGAATCGAATCTTCTAACGCTTCCCGTTTGAGCAGTAAAGCCGCGTGAGTAAACGTCCCTACTAATCCACCTGAACAGTGTCTCCCAACCGGAAAATAAGCTCAATGTTACGATAATGTCTTGATGAGAAAAAAAAACTGCTGTATGACAACAAAATGCTCGGACGTCCATCTCGGCAGTCTATATTGCAAAAACGGTTGATGGAGTCTAACAACAGTCATGAATGTAACAATCTCGACATATGTCTCACAGTAAATGCATGCAAAAAAAAACAAGTTATGTGTCGTCACGGATGTACATGCACGCAACAGTATTGAAACAATGTCACAGCTTTAGCTGTGATGACTCACGTCACCACTGAGACACTTCACTAGCCTTCAAGGTTTGACTGCAGCTTTTTCCACAATGTAGCACTCCTCGCCATTTTCCCGAGTAGCACTGACGGTAACGACGTCACCAAGCCGCGTGGCGTACACGGGCCGCACCACACCGTCGGCGCCGGGCCGCCGGGCCAGCTCCCATACGTGGCCCTGCAGCACCAGCAGCCACTCACACAGCAGCGCCGAGCAGACCTGCAGCGCGTCACTGGGCGCCGGCAGGGCGCGCTGCGCCGTCAGACACGACTCCAGGTGCCGCACCAGACGCACCAGCAGGGCGGCCAGCGCGCGGCGCACCGCCGACGGCGCCGTCAGCTCCTCTGGAGCCAGTCTCCACACATCTGCGGCGCGGCCGGCAGCCCGCTCAGCCGCCGTCAGACCAGCCAGGTACAGGCGGACTGCCAGGCCCCAGGAAGCTCCCGAGCGGCCGATGGTTAGGTCCCCGGCGGGAGAGTTGTCCTGCGCCGCCGCCGGCAGAGGCACCCACTCGGCCGGTACCGGCACAGCGTCCTGGCTGTTACTCGGTACCACAAACCCGTAATCGAGCAGCAGTCGCAGATTGTCGTGCGGACCATAGTTGATAAACACCTGCTCGCCAGCGGAGAAACGGTCCTCGGTGACGAGCTCATAGTGATCTCCGACGACACGGCTGCTCATGGTCGCTGTCGGAGAGTGGTTGAACAGATCGAGGAACGGTGCCAGCGCTAGATTGTCCTCAGAGAACAGCCCGGGGGCGAGTGACGGGTCCAGGAACACAGCGCGCGTGTTGACCGTGAACCAGCCGTGACGGAACTCCTCTTCAGAGATCTCCCAGCCGGCCGTACACGGGATTGATGTCTGGCGCAGCAGCTGTCGGGCGCGCTCCAGCTGCCGCAGCAGCAGCCGCCTCTGACCGCGCGCCGCCGAGAGCAGCGCCTCCGGCAGCAGGTCGGCGCTCAGCTCGCGCGGCTCGCAGTACGCCGGCGTCGTGTAGGCGCTCGGCAGCGAGGCCAGGTACGGCCGCCAGCCGGAGTCGGCGCCGCGCCGCCGCTCCAGCGCCAGCCACAGGCTGACGGCCAGCTGGGCCGAGACGGCTGGCCGGGCGGCCCGCAGCGCCGCGCCCAGCTCCGAGCGCAGCGCCGTCGCCGAGCTGACCAGCAGCGAGAGCGGGATCGAGACGAGCGTGGCGCCGGGCCGCAGCGGTCGCCGGCTCAGCAGGCCGCGGCCCGTGTCCGGGAACAGGGCCGGCCTCAGAGGGCCCGGTCCCGACCACCGGCGGCGCCGCATCCAGCCCACCAGCTCGGCCAGCTCGGACGACACGATAATGGGCTTCTTCGTAGCATAAGCGCGATTCCGAAGGCGATGTCTTTTCGTTCTTCCCATGTTTCAGATTATCTGAAAATGCAATGTTTCGTTCACAGTGTATCACAATAGATCATGTATCTTGAAAACCCAGGTCATCAATTTATCTTCAGGTCGATACTCGATGAATGATTGCATGTTCTTCAAATTGGTAAAGGCAAAATGCAAAACTCAAAAGTCGGTTGAATGTTTAGAAGCGAAAGTAGGATGGTCGCAATTCAGAAAGCAAGGGCAGGAAACTAACATTTCCAGTCCAAAAAAGTTTCTAAAAATAAATAGGTATAACTAATCGCGAAACTAGACCGATCAAAGAGTTTCCTAGTTCAGCATAAATTTCCAAGCAGAGAAAGTAAAATACTTCGTCCTCCTCGGCAAAATGCTCATTTTAGCTCAATGTTTATTGGAAGGCAACAATGAAAGCCCTGTGACACAGCCACCGCTGCCACCACAACATGAGACGTTAGCAAATGTCCACAACAAACCGATTACAAAGGCACATTGCTGTGATGAGTGAATTCTAATAACACACCGAGTAAAATACAATGTAAAGATGTAACAATACGTTAACGTTCGACACCAGCCGGCTAATAGCTACGCACAAGTTACAGAAACGAGACAATGCATAGCAGATTGTGAGCACAAAGCACAAACGAGATGTAAAGCACAACACGTGAATGTAAATACACGACTGAACCACGATTAGATGACTAAACGATTACCATTAGACCAAACCTGAGACATTAGTGCACTTACATTTTTTTTCACAGCTATTTGTCAATAGATATTGCATAGTAAAAGCATATTATTTGTACCAAACGGTTAATTCCAGTAAAGCCTGAGACGTTAGCTAATTTGTACACAACAACAAACCATGTTACACAACAAATACCTAACAGAAGTAAGTGGTTAACAAAGACTTATAACCAATGGTCAGTATTTGTGAGTAACACTCGGTTGCTACTTTCGTGATCAGTAGCCGAAGGTGGATAACCTGAAACGCTAGCCATCAGCACACACCTCCACGGTGAGCTCCCCGCCCGCGCCATGAATGACGCTCTCTGTGACGACATCGCCCAGCCGCGTGCCGTACACGGGCCGCACCACACCGTCGGCGCCGGGCCGCCGGTCCAGCTCCCATACGTGGCCCTGCAGCACCAGCAGCCACTCGCGCAGCAGCGCCGAGCAGACCCGCAGCGCGTCACTGGGCGCCGGCAGGGCGCGCTGCGCCGCCAGACACGACTCCAGGTGCCGCACCAGGCGCACCAGCAGGGCGGCCAGCGCGCGGCGCACCGCCGACGGAGCAGTCAGCTCCTGCAGGCTCATACACTGCACCTCCTGGCCGTCCACGGTGGCCAACTCTTGCTCCGGGAGCGCCGCCAGGTACAGCCGCGTCAGAAGATCGCGGGAGTAGCCCTCACGACCCACGGACAGAAAGGAGCGCAGGCGAGCGTCGTCGGCCGCGCGCTGAGCCGCCACAGGCAGCGGCACCCACTCGGCCGGCACCGGCACTGCGTCTCGCTCGTTGCCCGGCACCACAAACCCGTAGTCGAGCACCAGCTGCAGGTTGTCACGCGGGCCGTAGTCGATGAAGACCTGCTCGCCGGCGGCTACGCCGTGCTCCGTCATCAGCCGATAGCAGCCGTCGGAGACGCTACTGTAGACGGTAGCGCCCGGCCGGTGGTTGAAGAGGTCCAGGAACGGTGCGAGCGCGCAGTTATCGTCTTTGAGGCCGGACGGCGCGTTTCCGAGGTCCTCCTCCGGCTCCACGCACATGGCGCGTGTCTTCACCGTCACCCAGGCGTGTCGGAGCTCCTCTTCTGAGAGCTCCCAGCCGGCCACGCACGGTGCTGATGTTTCGCGCAGCAGCCGCCGGGCACGCAGTAGATTTCGACGAACAGCGGCGTGCTGAAGTCGCGCCGCCGAGAGCAGCGCCTCCGGCAGCAGGTCGGCGCTCAGCTCGCGCGGCTCGCAGTACGCCGGCGTCGTGTAGGCGCTCGGCAGCGAGGCCAGGTACGGCCGCCAGCCGGAGTCGGCGCCGCGCCGCCGCTCCAGCGCCAGCCACAGGCTGACGGCCAGCTGGGCCGAGACGGCCGGCCGGGCGGCCCGCAGCGCCGCGCCCAGCTCCGAGCGCAGCGCCGTTGCCGAGCTGACCAGCAGCGACAGCGGGATCGAGACGAGCGTGGCGCCGGGCTGCAGCGGTCGCCGGCTCAGCAGGCCGCGGCCCGTGTCCGGGAACAGGGCCGGCCTCAGAGGGCCCGGTCCCGACCACCGGTGGCGCCGCATCCAGCCCACCAGCTCGGCCAGCCGGCCATCGACATCAACCGAGCTCTCGGCAGACACGGCCCGCTTCCTACGGCGCACCCTTTTCGTCCTCCCCATTTGCACAACAGTCTGAAATGTAATGCATGAGGCTGATGCACGTCTTTCGTTGCAGAGGCACTATACCCATTGCGCACGAAATGTTAATAATAGTTTTTTTAATAAAAAAATGTGTTCGAATGGTTGAATGGTAGCTTTGGATGGCTTTGGACCCGGGTGCCTCGCCAAGTGATGCTTGCTGCGAATGACACCACGAACCCATCACCCGACCTCAGTGTCCCAAAATTATATTTTGGCTTGGGTGTCAGAGGGGAAGATTCGTCACTATAAGTAGTTATATACATTATACACTGTGACTATAAGGAGGGCTGAGAGTGGAAAATTGCCAGTTAGAAGAGTACAAAAAAGAGCAGAAAATATATATCAACAATTAATTTGTGAGTGTTGGAGGATGTGGGAGCTGCCTAAAAGATCATTGAATCGAATATGGAGGGAGGTACAAGGTGCACGCAGATGCTCTTAATTGGTAAACTAGGGAGTGAAAAATCGCTCTGGAAAATTGGGGATGAGACTTGAGAGTGGAAATTTTTTATTTTGATGTTATTTCCCACCGAAACTGGCAAATTTTGGGACACTGCCCGATCTCGTCCCCGCCCAGTTCACCGCTGATCATTCAAAAAGAAATGAACAACTTACTATTAAATCTTCATCAGCATGACATAATCACAGAGAAAACAAGATATGAAAAAACCTGTGATTATGTCATGCTGATGAAGATTTAATAATCGAAACGCGTCCATGCACTATTTGTTCCGTGTTTTTCTACTTGTCTCTATCAATATACATTTGTCGAACAACTTACGTATCGCAGGACGCAGTTAATTGCACTTGGCATTTGCATATGACAATTAAAACACTCTCCACAGTAAAATGGCTATTCTGAGTATCGAATCTGAGTTAAAACCCACTCATAAATCACAGCACGCAGTCGCCAGTACACATACCAAATCCCTCATTCATACCTTAACCCTCGCCCGCATAGGGGGGGGGGGGGGTGGTCGAACGGACCCCCGCCCTCGGTTTTCCGCGAATAACTCACGGGTAAAGAGGTCGATCGCACGATCGCAACGAAACTTTCAGTACCCTCGAGGTGATCAATTTTATACCTACTCAGTAAATTTCATGACCCTGACCCAAATGACCTTTGACATGTGACCTATTTCTCGAAACCATGTTTTGCCGGAATGGCGATTCAGCGTATGTCAGCTCTCATCATCCGCGCGTTTCTAGTCTTTTTGCGGTTATAAACGTTCAAACATGTGAAATGATGTTCGTCCCATGCATTACGGTGGGTGTCAAGCCCGGTCAAGGTCACCTGAAGGTCAAGTCAGGTCAATGACCTTTGATGACCTCGGTTCACTTTTTCGAGTTTTACATGTTTCTAGGCCAGTTTTTGGAGCTGAATTCGAATTTAGCAACCAAATGAACACTTACGAAGTTGTTTTGGTGCCTTCGTAACATGTTGCGAAGCTGTCAAAGGCGGTTGACACCTACTACGAATACCCGGCAGGACCCCTACTGGATGACCTGACCTGACCCGACCTGGCCTAAAGGCATAAAGGCATCATCTGTGATCAAAACTAACATGATATTCGTGATCAGCACCCCGAAAAACCCCATAGCAGCCACACTTAACGACGTTCTAACAGGTCCCGATTTTCTCGACTTTTGGGTCATTGACCTGAACTGGAAGGTCACCCAATGACCTAAGACCTTTAACCCGCGCCCGGCTGGGGGTCCTGGATTTCCACGCCCTGCTGGGGGGGGGGGGTGTTTGAACACCCCCCCTTCTAACTCGGCTCCTGGGCCACGTAGCAATACGCGGAAGGCGGCGTTCGAAAGGGCGTCAAAAATAATGAGGAAATCACTTCGGTCAATTTTTTGGTCAGGTCAAAGGTCAGGTCACCAGAGGTCATTGAAGGCAAAATTTCGCCGATTTCCAGGTCGAATGTCGAAAATTTCCAAGAAGCCAACGCATAACTCGGGAACCAATAGAGCTACAGCGCCGCGGAAAAGCGCATTCGATAGCCCTATTAACGCCCTTTCTGAGTAATTCTCTCAGATTTGACCTAACGTCAACGGTTTTGCCTGCAGGGGGCAAAAACTGCAAAAATAGCCGATTTTTTCGGAAACAGTTTTTCTGCAATAACTTTTGACCCAAGCATTGTACGAGCTTACTTTTACCGGCATCGTGTTCTTCTCGTCAAGACGCATCGAATGAACTATAACTTGACCTTGAAAGGTCAACTTGAAAATTTGACCTCAGGTCAAGGTCATGACCTGACCGGAAAGGGTCATGTTGCATATCAGTCGATCCGTATCGTCGAGCTGAACACATCTAAGGCGTTTTCATCGCTCTAGCATGCCTCTATCAAAAGTTATTTGCGAAAAACTGTTAGATACCATTCGTGACCTAAGATGACCTCAGGGCATAAACAGGGGTCACGGACACCATTTTCATGTTCAGTGTGTCTAAACCACTTGTAATTCAGTGTTTGGGAGTGTTTGTAATGTCTTTCGTCCAAAAGAGGCGCATTTCAATTTTCTCCCATTGACTTATAATGGGGAGGTCGCAAAATTGACCTGACCTTAGGTCATCGATATCAAAATTCTGAGATATACATTTTGTACATGCTATTGCTCTTAGCAATCGCTGTAAGTTTCAAAGCGATCGGTCACTCGGTGTAGCTATGACAGACATTGAAACTTTTTATGAGGTGAGGTCACTTCAAGTGACCTGGTGACCTGACCTTGAATGACCTTGGTCTGAAATTTTCACAACATGTGTAGAATTGATGTGTGATAAGGTGTACCAAAAACGGCGGCGCTCCGCGCCGCCGTTTTTGAGATATTCGCGAAAAACCACAAGGGGGGGGTGTTCAAACACCCCCCCCCCAGCAGGGCGCGGGTTAAATTGGGTATCATCGGCTTCCTCTCGTTACGGGCAGCACGCTCGTTTTTCCGCGAATCTCTAGCTCGATCCGGGGCGAAACGGCAAGCGGGTCCAACGGACCCCCCCCCCCCTCCCCCCTCATACGTTCCCGCATGGAAAAACACCAATACGGGCGAGGGTTAAAACGCAGATACAACTCTGAAATCGAACGCACTTCCCAACCGACAGGTTCCTAAAATCGTGGGGCATGCGTTAATATCATTGGAGGATGTTGTTTAGCCGCCTCTCTGGTTCGGTCCTCACGCGTAGGTGAGCCAGATCAGTGTCCCGCCGAGTTGAGTGTGAGCGCAGGTTAGCTGCGTCAAAGATACCCCGATAAATTGTTTATCTTGAAGAAGCATCTGACTGCTTGAAGCGTAGCAGCAGTGAGATTCTGGCCCTCCCATCGGCCGTAAATTATTGAATCTGTCTCAACAGCTCATTGAATCTGTCTGCTCCAGTTTATGGAACACAGGGTACCTGCAAGACCTCCGCTCACTTGAAAGGGTGCAGAGACGCTGGACAAAACGTGTCTATGGATTAGAAATAGAAACCCTCAGTTACGCCGATCGCCTCCAGGCATTGCAGTTGTACTCTGTCCAGGGCAGGCTGACGAGAGCCGACCTCCTTTTGTGTTGGAAAATTTTCCACAACCACTCCTTTATCTCCCCTGATGACCTGTTCCTGCTCTCATCCCAGAATCGCACCAGAGGCCATCGATTTAACCCGCGCACCGACGGGGGGGGCGGATATCCGCCCCCCCCCCCCTGAGGTTTTTCGCGGATAGCGGGAAAACCGCGGCGCGTAGCGCCGCGAAATTTGGTATGACTATTCTCACATCAATTTTACACATGGTGTGCAAGTTTGAATCTCCTAACTTTTAAGGTCAGGTCACCAGGTCACTTTGAATGACCCAACCTCAAGTCACTTTTTTGCAACTTTGTCACCGTGCCAGAGCTACAGTAGATGTCGGAGGCCTTTGAAAGTCGCATGATGTTATTAGGTCATTAGTAGCTACAATTTGTATATCTCGGAATTTTGATGTCGGTGACCTAAGGTCAGGTCAATTTCGCGACCTCCCCATTTTAAGTCAATGGGGGAAAAATCAACTCCCTGTTTTTACCACTAAAACGGGTCGGAATGGCCCCATATACCATACATGACTTCACATACGATCAACCTTCACTACCTTGAGGTCTGTTTTGCTGTTGGGCAGCTGTAAGGTCATGTGACGTCATCAAAGGTCACCAAAGGTTTTTTGCCAATAACTCCTTACAGGAACAAGATACAGCCGCGCGGATGGTCTCATTATGTTCAGCTCGTCAAGACGCATCGAATGATATACATGATGACCTCGAGGTCACGTGACCTGAGGTCAACCTTTGACCTTGACCTTTCGAGGTCAACATATATATCATTCGATGCGGATTGACGAGAGGATCACGATGATGCCCTTAGTTTGTTCCTATCTTGACTACTTCGAAAGTTATTCGAGAAAAACCCTCTCCATATCTAGCGCCGCCATTTTGACTTTTTCGACCCCTGTGACGTCATCTTTGACCTGACCTGAAAATGACCTTAGTAAAAATTGTAGACCTTGTCCGTGCGTATCCGATGCCGTTTACCGCTTGTCGCTATCTTGCTTCGTTCTCGAGATCTCAGGGGGGGGGCGGTCATCCGCCCCCCCCCCCCCCCGTCGGTACTAAGTTGGCGCAGACCCCCGTCGGTGCGCGGGTTAACCCGCGCCCTGCTGGGGGTCCTGGATTTCCACGCCCTGCTGGGGGGGGGTGTTTGAACACCCCCCCTTGTAACTCGGCTCCTGGGCCACGTAGCGATACGCGGAAGGCGGCGTTCGAAAGAGCGTAAAAAATAATGACGAAATCATTTCGGTCAATTTTTTGGTCAGGTCAAAGGTCAGGTCACCAGAGGTCATTGAAGGCAAAATTTCGCCGATTTCCAGGTCAAATGTCGAAAATTTCCAAGAAGCCAACGCATAACTCGGGAACCAATAGAGCTACAGCGCCGCGGAAAAGCGCATTCGATAGCCCTATTAACGCCCTTTCTGAGTAATTCTCTCAGATTTGACCTAACGTCAACGGTTTTGCCTGCAGGGGGCAAAAACTGCAAAAATAGCCGATTTTTTCGAAAACAGTTTTTCTGCAATAACTTTTGACCCAAGCATTGTACGAGCTTACTTTTACCGGCATCGTGTTCCTCTCGCCAAGACGCATCGAATGAACTATAACTTGACCTTGAAAGGTCAACTTGAAAATTTGACCTCAGGTCAAGGTCATGACCTGACCGGAAAGGGTCATGTTGCATATCAGTCGATCCGTATCGTCGAGCTGAACACATCTAAGGCGTTTTCATCGCTCTAGCATGCCTCTATCAAAAGTTATTTGCGAAAAACTGTTAGATACCATTCGTGACCTAAGATGACCTCAGGGCATAAACAAGGGTCACGGACACCATTTTCAAGTTCAGTGTGTCTAAACCACTTGTAATTCGGTGTTTGGGAGTGTTTATAACGTCTTTCATCCAAAAGAGGCGCATTTCAATTTTCTACCATTGACTTATAATGGGGAGGTCGCAAAATTGACCTGACCTTAGGTCATCGATATCAAAATTCTGAGATATACATTTTGTACATGCTATTGCTCTTAGCAATCGCTGAAAGTTTCAAAGCGATCGGTCACTCGGTGTAGCTATGACAGACATTGAAAGTTTTTATGAGGTGAGGTCACTTCAAGTGACCTGGTGACCTGACCTTGAATGACCTTGGTCTGAAATTTTCACAACATGTGTAGAATTGATGTATGATAAGGTGTACCAAAAACGGCGGCGCTCCGCGCCGCCGTTTTTGAGATATTCGCGAAAAACCACAGGGGGGGTGTTCAAACACCCCCCCCAGCAGGGCGCGGGTTAAGATTCATCGTCCCCACAGCAGGACAGATATTAGACAACGCTTTTTCTCAGTTAGAATAATAGACATTTGGAACTCTCTGCCAGATTCTGCTGTAAATACCCCAAGTATAGATGGCTTTAAGAAGATGCTGAATGTTTGTATCCCTGACTTGCTGTACTCTTATGTTGACTAAGTTCATGACCTGTTTCTGTATATGTACGCATGCTTTTTTGTCTCGCAAATACGGCAACTAATTGATTTGAATTTAGGCGTGACTTTTGGAAACATGACTAACTTAGAGACTTTTTTCTGGAGGCGCATCATTCCAGTTATCTCCGCGATTTAGTGAATGTATTGTTTCTTTCTATCGAACTGGCGTGTCTCATGTAATGCGGGTTCCTCATTTCCTATTTGCCTAATCCTATCCACAATCTTATCAGTTATGCAGGAACCAACGAGGTTAGTTAACGAGGTGAGTTAGCGGTGCTTATCTCTTTCACTCTACCGCCGGCCCGTCGCAGAGCCGAGCGTTTCGTGTTGTAGCAGTGCAAAGAGTGTGAAAGCTTATTAGGTTAGGATAGGCTAGGTTAAAATTTTCAGATGAAGACTTGCCAAAGATTTCAGGAGACAAAGAAATATGAGGACAAAAAATGTGAAACGAAGAAATGCGCCGACAAACAAACGTGGATACAATAACATGATGAATATCTGTGCAACAAAGAAATACGAGCAAAGGACATGACAGTTGACACAATGAAATGTGCAAAGTTTTGAGGACAAAGAATTGGGTGTCAAAGAAAGCCGCGTACAAAGATTTGTCTTTGGAGTCCCCAGACAAACCACCACTCTGATGTGATCCACCGAGACCGGAAAAAAAAACTACCTATACACTATGCGTTTGTTGACTTTTCAGTTACAACTGCAGTGGTCCAGCAAGAGATCATTTAGTGATTCTGATTCATATTGTGATTCTACAGAATTATCCCTCTCACTCTCCATCTCATCTTTGAGGCCTGATTGCTTACCTGATCAACAAATAGTTGCTGACGTTCTGTTAGTAGCAGGTATACATTAATTTTGTACGAAAATTAATCCACCTCAGTGCACATCAACCGTGTATAGTCCCCCTGCGCATTTAATATGGCTTCCAATATTCACCACCCGCCGACCAAACCAATTGAAATCAAAATGGATGAATGGTAGAAGGTGCCGAAAATACCTGAAAATACTGTTCAAATATAATCGCCATGTAGAGAAAAGGACAACTTATTCCAAATTGTCATGGAAATCTGATTCCGTTTCACAAACACGCAAATTAATTGGCTGTTCATTGGCATCATCAGTAATTTGTCGAACAATTTTTCCAAACTTACGACATTTCCAGCGTGTGTGCGACAAAATAAAAGCAAAGTTTTCCTTGCGTGTTGAGCATACATCCCGCGCATACATCCCCATGCCATCCCATGCTAAACCTATCATTTTCCTTCATCTGCTTAGTTTCCCTCTGCACCATCTGGCTGCAACCGATTGCAACATCTACTCGATCGAGACAAGAATGGCGCACTGATGACAACAACTACGGACGCTTGAGCCCAACGAGGCTATGCGCCCTAACCCAACAAGTACAAGCAAGGCCAGTACAAGTAGCGCGTGTTGAGCGCGCGTGTCATTAGGTTGAACGAGTTGGATTGGATTTTATCGATTTTCTATCCATTAAAGATACATATGATAATCGGCAAAGTCAGAAATCAACTGGCAGGTCGAAAATGTTAATTACTGCTGTTTGAATTTGGGTACCTATTCTTATAGAAGGCGTCTCACATGCTGCCACCGGGCACCGGGTTCAGTTTGGTTTGTGTAGAATGAGAATGTGAATGATCGCTTACACATCCTGATTGATATCAAAATAATGAATGATATAAATTGTTTCTACGTTTCTGTTCCTGCTGACTTCATTATTTGGCATTGGCCTTATTAGCCTCTTCTCACTTTTCTTGTCGAGCATTTGAGTGTAAGGTGTGAACTGTGACCTGCTGCTATGTACAGGTCTCGCCGGTTTTAGCGATAGGTTTTGCACCTAGAAAATTTAGTGTACTTCAGGCTATATCTTCGTCGTCTTAACCCGCGCCCCGTAGGGCTACCGGCGGACCCTACCACCCGTAGGGGGGGGCCGTTTCGCCCCCCCCCCCTAAGATCTCGGAAAGTTACCGGCCGATTTTCAAAATTCAAACGGCGTTTGATAGCCCTACCCGGGAACTACCTTGTGACCAAATTTCATTGACCTAGGTCAAACTGATGACGTCACAGGTCAGGTCAAAGGTCAGATTTTCACCGTTCACAGGCAATTCAAGAAATGTGCTGTGAAATCGAGTAAATTGGTAATTTATTGAAAATTATCGATGGTATATTGTTCGTCAAACACATACTTTGCTATCTGAGGTCACTGATACCAGGTCAGGTCACAGCGAGGTCAGGTCACCGGGGGTCACAATATGAATGTGTCGTGTGATACATGTTTTATGGTCCATTTTACATGATAAATGCGATTATGTGGGTTAGGCAGCCTTTGGGGCCAGCCTAGGTCACGTTTTGGTGAAGGTCAGGTCAAGGTCAGGTCAAATTAGGTCAAATTTCAAAGTTGATATTTTTGCATAAAATGGGTATCCATTCGATGCAGCTCGTCACGGGGAGTCTAATGGTGGTCTTTGTTTTGCTCTACGAGTTCTAAAATTGCCAAAAATTGAATTTGAAAATTTGACGTCATCATTTTTGAACAGTTTTTTCGCTATAACTTGGCCAAAAAACGAGGTATCGATCTGAAATTTGGTATGTAGATAGAAGACGGTAGGTACTATCACATATATTCCGGTTTTTTCGAAACTCAAAAAACTTTCTGGATTTTTTGGCTAATATATCCAAAAAAATGCTTTTTTGATTTTGGGGGATCAAAACTCAAAAATTTCAAAAATCCGAGATAGCAGTTTTGTAGCCCTGTCAATTCTACACCTTTTATGTCTTGATCATTTTTCTGTATCTTCAAAGCTGTAGGCCTGACAGGTCTTCTCGCGAAGGTCTTTTTTCGGTCGAAAATGACAGAACATGACGTCACTCTGACGTCATTTGTGGCCAACCTATCACAGCCTCTGGAAAAATTTTTGGTCACAATGTGTAAAATTGATGCCCGGAAGGGTCCTGAAAGTTTGGTGGCGATATCTCCAGCCGTTTAGGAGATATCGACCGAAAAGGACAGGGGGGGCCGTTTCGGCCCCCCCCCCCTACGGGGCGCGGGTTAAGCTTTTAAGTGTTGAAGATGCGATCGACTTGTTGGGTAACGAGCCGGCCATGATCGTGTAAAATGGCTTCATCGTAGATCGATTAGTTTCTGAGATATAACCGGAAATGTAAAAGTGCAAAACCTACCGCTTAATCTCGCGAGACCTGTATATCACTCAGATGAGAATATTTCAATTTGAAAATGAAATTATGGGTGTTTAATGACCCCTTTTAAATGTTCAACAGGTTTATAAGCCTTATGAACAAAATTTTGGTAATTATAAAATGGAGTTTGTTTGTTTAGCAGCTAAATTCTTACCAGATGCTCACCAAGATGCAAATTTCTGAAGCAAAAGAAGTAAAAATGACCTAGGGTAGCATTAGTCCTAATACATCACCCTTTTCTGCTCATGATGTATATGTTTGTATGTGTGTACATGTGCATGTATGTGTATATTCTGTCATCAGCTGTGAGCTGCTGCATGCTACATTCATAGGGGCATAGTGCCACAAATATGAGATAAGTGACTTCATAAATCATAATGACTCAATGCTTAACAATTCGGAAGTGGCATGTATAATTCCCATTCCAATGCTAACCAATGTACTTTTTAATGCATCTGACGCTGAATTGAGAGTCATATGCTGTGCTGCTTGTCAATGACATGCAGTTAGTGGCCAACAGGTGACAGCATTGAGCTCCCACACAATCTGATGTCAATAAATGACATTGGATGATATCAAATGACTCACTATAAATGAGCGACCCACATCCAGAACGTTATCTGTACCTTCGTGACCTGCTTGAAGAGCTGCAGGAATCGCAGCAGCCTGCGGCGCGACAACAGGTGCTGGCCAACATCGCCAACTTTGCTTACGACCCTCGGAACGCCGAGCACCTGCTGCGGCTGGGCGCTCCGCGGCTGCTGCTGGCGCGTCTGTCCGATCCGGACGCCGCCCTGCGCCGGTTCGCCGCCGCCGCCGTCAGCAACCTGTGTCTGGAGCCGCGGTGTCGGCGCGCGCTGCTGGCCGGAGGTGTGCTGCCGGCGCTGCTGCTCGGGCTGGAGGAGTCCTGTGCGCAGACGGTGGCCGCCTGCCTGACGACGCTGCTGCTGCTGCCCGTCACGGACCGCTCCGTCTGGGAGCAGGTGGACGCCGAGCGGCTGACGCGGCTGACGGTTCAGCTCAGTGGCTCCGAGGACCGTCGGCTGGCGAACCTGGCCGCCCTGCTGCGACGCCAGCTGCCGGAACCGGCCGGCACAGCGCCAGAACAAAACTCCGTGTGACTGTGTGCATCTGATCAGGCACAAAGTGTGCGCCTGAATCGTGGGAAGGTGGTCTAGCAAGTCATTGGGTATTTGAGAGAGACGCCGCATATACTCGTTGCTAGTGTTTGCTCGTGTTGAGAACTTCAATTCACAAAGTGTGCCGGTCGAAAGCCGCAAAATGCTAGCTGCCTGTGTTGTGTCACCCTCTGCAGCTGGCTTCAGACACTCGGGTGTCGGACGGCTCCTGGTGATGTCTCCTCCCAAACGCTTGCTAAGCGTCGGCGACCGGGCGGTACGGCGGGTGCAGCTCTCGCGAGCGACAGTGGAGCGGTTCGCTGAACTCAGTGGCGACACGAATCCCGTCCACATGGAGCCCGCCGGCGGAGAGGTTGAAACGGTGGTGCACGGCGCTCTTCTGAACAGTCTGGTGTCGGCTGTAATGGGTACCGAGCTACCAGGGCCGGGCTGCCTGGTGGTGCGCCAGACGTTAGAGTTCCCGGCCGTCTGCCGGAGTGGCGACTTGGTGGAGGTGTCCGTCTGGCTGACGGCGGTGCGGAAACTCATATCGGCCGAGTTTTCTGTGACATCAGTTAGGACAGACGTGACTGTGATGCGCGGAACCGCTCAGCTCATCAGCAAGAGACCATCCGTCACTTAGAGGCGAGGTGTTTTATTTTCACTAGAGGCTTACAGTGGCTTATACGCGTACGAAACATTAGGTTAGTGTGATCTGATGCGTAATGTCATGCGATGGTACGTGCGGATAGTTTTTGCCATTGTTCTGTCCTGATGACTAAGCATTGTTATCCCTGCCTTACAGCCGCTGATGTTGCAGGACTACGTGGCATGTGTGAATTGTGCACTTATCGTCGTTTTTTTGCCAGATTCATGCCACCCATGGTGGGACATCCGCCGTTGCTTGATGATGTATGCAGTGTAAATGTGCAGTGAATCGAATGGTTAACTTTTCCAATACCCTGAATTGATGCCTGCTCTCAATAAATAGCAATGAAATCTGGCTTGTGGTTGTAGGTTGCCGATGCGCCGGAAAGCTCAGTCGACGCTCAGTTTCGCGCCCACAGACATATCTTAGACCGGCGATCATTTGATATTTTAACACCTTTGGTATCCGACAGGTGGCAAAAGAATCCAAGATGAAGGCCGAGAAATTTACCCTGCTGCGTCACTTCGACGGCATGCCGCAGCCGTCTGATTTCCAGCTGGAGTCTGAGGACCTTCCCGAACTGAAGGAGGGTGAGTTCCTCTGCGAGGCCGAGTTCCTCAGCGTTGACCCGTACATGCGGCCCTACTCGAGGAATTTGAAACCACCAGTGACCATGATCGGATCGCAAGTGGCGCGGGTACTGGAGAGCAAGAGCGACAAGTTCCCTGTAGGCTGCCGGGTGGTCGGGAAGCTTGGCTGGCGCTCCCGCACCGTCGCCAGTGAGGACACACCTTCATCCGTCTTCGGACTGAGGAAGCTTCCTGACCTGGGCGACCTTCCGACGTCATATGCTCTCGGCTCGTGCGGCATGCCGGGCAATACGGCCTACTTCGGTTTCCTGGAGATCTGCAAGCCCAAGGAGGGCGAGACGGTGGTGGTGACGGGCGCGGCTGGCGCCGTCGGCAGCCTGGTCGGACAGATCGCCAAGATCAAGGGCTGCCGCGTGGTCGGCTTCGCGGGTACGGACGACAAGTGTGCCTGGATCCGCCAGCTCGGATTCGACGTGGCCATCAACTACAAGACGTGCGCGGACATCGATGCTGCCCTGAAGGAGGCCGCCCCGGACGGCGTGGACTGCTACTTCGATAACGTCGGCGGAATGCTCAGCTATCAAATCCGCAAACAGATGAACGTTTATGGTCGCATTTCTGTTTGCGGCTGCATATCCAGCTACAACGAGAAGACTGGCGAGGAGGTGAAACTGGAAGTCCCCGAGAAGCTGATTCTGTTCAAGCAGCTGAAGGTGGAAGGGTTTCTCGTATACCGCTGGGATGCGGACGACGAGTGGAACAAAGGAATTGAACAGATGGCGTCTTGGATTCGCGAAGGCAAGATCGCGGTTCAGGAGACAGTTACTGAAGGGTTCCAGAACATGCCTCAAGCCTTCATCGGCATGCTGAACGGGGCCAACACGGGGAAAGCCATAGTAAAGGTATAGACTGCAAGTCTCCCGTTGTATAACGCACTATGTTGCATCTGTGTCTCCCCTGCTGTTTCCTTGCTGTGTCTTCTTGCTAAGAAGAATAACGTGCTTCCATAGACAGTGCAAGGCGAGGAAGTTGCTGGATCTGTAGTGAAGTGACGGAGGACGTCACTAGCATCTCATATTTGTCAGCAGATTTCACCTCTAGAATTTTAGTTGAACTGTTTTTTATATAAGTTCTGCTCCCTTATGCGAGAAATGTATCCCGGGATGCAAGCTTTGTCAACATCGTATCGTGCCAACTGCCATGAATCTTTTGCCAAGGGATCGTCTTACTCGAGGGTGAGTTATTGATGCGTGCGTGGGGAAAATACATGTCATTGAAACTGTTTTAAACTGAAAGGTGTTGACGGCCTCCGAGAGACGGACCTGCCAGTCCCAAGATTCCTTTACTACTCAGTGCCAGTCCCAGCCACCAGGTACCGGCCAACCGGGACCTTTCACCCGGCCAACCACGCTTCTCATGTCGGAGGCAGCCACCGACTCAGCCTGTCACCCAGTTGTGCCAAAGTTGTGCGGCTGATGAGCCTCACCGAGCCAGCTTCACCGAGGAATCGTAGCCCTTTCGTCATCCACCCGTGCGCCTGGGCCCAGGGTTCAGGCCCTCGTCTCCATTTCAATGTTGAGTCGGGATTTTGCACCTCACACTCGCCTTACGGCTGAAAGTGCCAAGTGGAGTCATTCACATGATGGATACCGGCATACCATGACATAATTGAGACAGTGGACAGTTCACGCAGGTCTAACGGCAGTGGGCTTAGGTATAACTCAGTTACAGTAGGACTAGGTACGAAACATTGCCGCAGAGCGTAGGACTATAGGGGTGGCGGCAGAGTCGACGGATTTGCAGGGACTCCGACTCTGGCTCCGGCTTCCAAGTTCCAAACTCGACTCCGATTACGAATCCGGCCATAATTGTCGACTCTGAACGGCTCCGACTCTGACTCAGACTCCGCAGCCTTACTTGCATTTTGCAAGCATCGATAGTAGGTAAGTACTATTTATAGTCACCGTGGTAAGTACGAACAAGATTCCTTTACTACGCAGTACAAAAATAACTTTGCCAATAGCAAAGGTAGCGCTGAAGTTATTTTGCTGCCATATTTTTAAAGTGGATATGGTAGCTTCAGAAATGCCATCGTAATCGGCGTGCGAGTTGCAATTCACGGCGCAGGGCGCGATGCCGCGCGATGCTAGGGTGAATTTCGGGGTGAATTCGAGTTGAATTTTGGATCCTGTTGTTGAGGGCGATTTTATTGTTTTATAAAAAAAAGATTATAAAGGCCAGCCGGACCAGTCTTATGTGAGTACCCTTACACCAGGTGGACCTTTGTATTGTACTTACGGTTAATAAAACAAGGGTGCTTTGCCCAACTTCAACTTGAAGTTTGCTAAAGCTTCTTCCTCTATTTGGTGATTAGGGCTTGTTTAGGGCGCGTAATATTCTAACAGGCCCGGATTCAGTGCCCTCAAATAAAAATCCAGGAATTCTTTGCTGCTTCCCAAGTGTAGAGTGTAGACTGGCTCGAGATGATAAATCAGTAGGCGGAACTATGGTCAAGCGTACCCATTTTCGGGAACGCATTTTCGTTCCCATGTTTGGGAACGATAGACCCAAATATGGGAACGCCATGTAGGCATTATTTAAAACAAAAAAAAGAACCGTTAAATGACGTCCAAAAAATATAAAACGATCGTGAACCGCCTGATAGTTGTCTCAATATTGTTGGGAAAGAGTTTGATATTGTAAGGCCCATCGTAGTTACAAATCGTTCCCCTATTTCTAAAGCAGTCCATCACCCGGGCCGCGAGCCCAAATTTGGGAACGCTCTCGTACACTGGCGCTGCAAGCGTTCCTTATTATGGGAACGGCGTACCCAAAATTGGGAACGATTTCACCGACGCCTTTCAGGGGCTCTTTTCATTAACAAGCATCACGTCCAACGCCGCAAATTATTATTAACGCAACAATCATCAGATGACCTTTCCGGCAAGACCGTTGCATGTTTCGCCCGGTCTTCTGCGCTTTTATTCCCGTCGATCTCGCAGCGGGCACGCCCCCCTCTGCAGGATTACGTAATCCACAACGCTCAGCAATGTTCAACAAGGTCTTCCATACCTATATCCACCGTCCGCGCCGAGGGTGGAGACATGTCAAGCACCTGTCTGCTAATCACCGAGAGTTGAAGAGCACAAGAAGTATCCAAAAATGGGAACGCTGAATATGTTACACCCTCAAAACACCTAGTCCCAATGAAAATCTAGTTTTTTCCTTTCTTAATGAGTGTAAGTGGCAAAAGGCCTGGTAGGATGGGCACGAGGAATGATCGAAATCAGCATAAAAATTATAAATAAGCCACACAGAGCGACCTATATCAGAGAAATTCCCACCAAACGATCATGCTTAGAAACGCCGAAGACAAAAACCACGCTCATGACGCTGCTTATAAAACAACGCTAAACAGCTAGCATCCAAATAAAATATGTCTTTCAGGGCTGATAAAATACAGCTGAATGATTTTAAACCACTGAAACTGAGTTTACAACAGTAGTTCGGTAAAATCACTGACGTTCCACGCGGTCGATCGCCCCGACACCAAAAGTCAACAATATTACCTCGGGACTGTCCGCGTGTTCGCTTGCATATGTCAGCATCTGGTGTCGCTAGAATGAAACTTCATAACCAGGCGAAAATTATTATACTTGACCTCAAAATGTAAAAAATGCTTCATTTTCCTTAAAATTGCATGTTAAATGTCGTATAACCCATATTTCCACCATTCTGTCATTTTTAAAAAATCATTAAAAATATCATTCCACGGTCAATTTCCTTGTTCCACGGTCAGATTAAAGATAACTTTATGGAAATTTAGTAGATACTTAAATCAGCGTGCACTTTTTTGAGACGTGATGCACTTTTGAGTTTTAGTGGGCGAACGGCCGAAAAATTGCCTTCCGTTCTCATAAATGGGAACGCCCGTTCCCATATTTGGGAACTCCGTTCCCAAAAATGGGAACGTTCCTATATTTGGGTACTCATGACCATAGTTCCGCCTACTGAAATACCAGGCGGCAGTCGGCGTCACAAGATTACTTACATCATGCTGGAACTGTAACAGTACCTAATGGGAGTTAAAATTTGAAAAATGCCATAAAATAATTTGAGACATCAGAATTATACAAAATGATCCCTAATATTACTAAGTTTCCCAAAACGATGTAGGTATTACTTAAACGATAAAATGATAAAGATGGTTAAGAAAGATTAAGATTTTTTTTATAAATTTAGCTCGAATGTTTGAATGGACGGATTGACAGAGCCGGAGTCCACGCTAAGCAGAGCTTGTTGCGTAGACCCCTACCGTCCGATCGCGCAATTCCGGGTAACGGGAGAATTTAGATGCCAAAGTTTAACGTGCCCTTCAAAGCCGGACACGGCCTGTCCCACTCAACTGACTTCAACTGGCTGCGGCTGCTCCCACCAACCGCAGACCATCCCCGTCAGGAGTCTCATATATCGAGCGCCGGAGCGTCTCGAACCCGGGCTCTCACTACCGGGAGTCCGATGCTCTACCAACTGAGCTACGGGACAGGCAAAAAAAGATAGCTATTAGAATTTAGATAAGTAAGATAGTAAGTATTAAAAGATAAAGAGATTTCCTGAGAAAAGTTGCACTACTCACATGATGATACTACAAAAACTGAACACCTTACATGTATGCTAATTGCTAGTGATTACAGCCCAGACTGGCTAATCATCAATACTGTTATGATTAAATTTTGTATTGTATGTAGGCATTCAATTAACTATTTATGACTTTTTGTCATTGCTAAATAGGTACCCATCCTATTTCATTATTTTAACTATCCAGACTAGTTAATTTACTACATTAGGGGTTGTAGTTATAGCATCAGCATATTTTAAAGAAATTATTAAAGAGATGAATAGTATTTGTTTTGTCTCCTCCACAGCCCATGCAATTTACATGATGATTTAGTCTGATTGGCTTCATTGTCGTGATGAACTTTTTGGTATATTCCTACAGCTGAGAGAAATGCCTGCTACTGAGCACTGCTAGAGCTGATTACAAGATCAATGGCTGGAGTGGTGGTGTTGGGAGGTGGTGTGGCTGGGCTGGCAGCCGCCCACTACCTACGGCAGTTGCGGCCCAGCTCTGCACTGCCCATCACCCTGCTAGAGGCAGCATCCAGTGTCGGCGGATGGGTGAACACCACACGTCATGTGGACGGCACTGTCTGGGAGCACGGGCCACGCACAGTGCGTCCAGCTGGACAGCAGGGCGTCAACACACTGCAGCTGGTGGAGGAGCTCCAGCTTCAGGACAGGTAACTTTATTTATCATAAATGGCAAGCAATAAAACTTAATGATACCAACTATTTTAAACTTCCTTTTGCCTACTGGTTCTGAACAGGCTACTCTACCTGGTGATTGCTGTTGCATTACATTTTAACATATTTATCGATGATCAGGCCTGTATTTGGTAACTGCATATTGAAGTAACTCTTTTATCTGTGATTGAGACTGTGACAGTGTGAATTCCGCTGTGTTGTTCATTGATGGTATGAACTGTGACGTGATGACTGTGACCGTGACCGTGTTGTCTAATTGTCTTACAGGCTCAAGATAATCCCAGCGGGTCATCCGGCAACACTGAACCGGATGATAATGACGGGCGGCCAGCTGCACCGGCTGCCCACCAGTCTGTGGAGCACCCTGCGGCCGCTGAAGCCGTTCCACCGGCCGCTGGCGCTGGCCGCCCTGCGCGATCTCTGGGCGCCCGCAGAGCGCGGCCTCCAGGACGACAGCCTGTACGCGTTCGTGTCGCGTAGGTTCGGCGCCGACATTGCCCAGTTCGCCGTGGATCCGCTGGTGCGCGGCATCTGCGCCGGCGACGCGCGTCAGATCAGCGTGCGCTTCCTGATGGACTCGCTGTTCGAGCACGAGCAGCGTCACGGCAGCGTGCTGTGGGGAATGTGGAAGGAGCGGGGCCGCACCGCGCCGCCCGACCCCGGCGACAGCGAGCTGGCGCGCCGCGCTCAGAAGGAGCGCTGGAGCGTGTGGAGTCTGGAGGGTGGCCTGCGGACGCTACCTGAGACACTGGCCGAGAGATTAGCGGCGGACGGAGTTAGTGTGCGGCTCGACTGCCCGGCGACAGAGTTACGACTGCGGCCGGACGGTGCCACGGTCCACACTGCGGCCGGGGAGCTGCACGCCAGCCACATCATCTCGGCGCTGCCGGCGCACGGGCTGGCTCCTCTGGTGACCGACCGGGCCGTGGCCGAGCCCCTGGAGCAGATTGAGTCAGTCACCGTAGCCGTCATCACACTGCAATACGCCGGGCAGTTGTTGCGCCAGCCCGGCTTCGGCTATCTAATTCCCTCGTGTGAGCCTGCCGGCGGCGTGCTCGGTGTGATTTTCGACACGTGCAGCTTCCCGCAGGGAGACCGCACCATCCTAACGGTGATGTCGGGCGGTGCAGAGATGGAGCGGTGGTACGGCGCGCGGCCCGACCGGGAGCAGGTGCTGCGCGCGGCGCTGGACGAGGTGCGCCGCACGCTGGGCATCACCGCTGAGCCCAGCCGTGTCTGTGTGCAGCTCCAGGAGCGCTGCATCCCGCAGTACCGTGTCGGACACAAGGCGCTGGTGGCGCGGCTCAGGGACGCAGTGCGGGAGCGCCAGTGGCCCCTGCTGCTGGCCGGAGCGGCCTATGACGGCGTCAGTGTCAATGACTGCATTCTGAGCGGCCGGCGAGCGGCGGAGGCCGTCAGCGCGAGTCTGGGGGAGGCGTGAAGCGGGTGAGTCGCGACCAAGGGGGATACGGTGTTCAACGGTGTGTGGGATGGGGTATGCGATTTGTCGCGGAAAGTATTCCTCGATGTAAGTATGGTGGTGGATTTGGACCTGTGTTCTGTATAGCGCCACGGTATAAAGTTTCAAAAATGCCAATTGATTGGGATTTTTATTTGTGCTGTGACGCTGCTGTTTTGATATCCTCCCAGTGTTACGTAATTCCAACAATGCCCGACACTTGTTTATGGGGCACTTTGATGCAGCTATTTCGTTCGGAAGCGTGCAAATATCGCCTAGTGATTTCGTTTATTGTCGGCTGACCTGGAACCCAGACTTGAAGTGGGTGGCAGTGTAGGCGCATATTCGTTTTTTTCTGTTGTTAAATGCCGTTTATAATTCACTTTAATAAGCTTCCTAGGCTTCTTTCCCGGCGTACTGCACGTTTGATACGATATTAAATGTTACCAATGATTGTATAATTACGCTGGTGATCGTTGGGAGGTCGTGGCGTACAAGAATTGGATACACAAATGTGTTTTCAGTCATGGCGATGCAAGGCGTAGTACTATGCCCCTACGTCATAGCCATTAACATTAGTGCCACCGGTTTGGTGCAGCTGTGAAGTGTGATACGGTGCAGCTGTGATACGGTGAAGTCCATGTGAATTGTGAAGTCTACCTCTTACGCTGCTCAGGCCAACGCTTGCACCGTAAGAGAATACACATCTATACCTGGTACCCAGACTGTGACAGCATGCAGTTTTTGTGACCAAGCGGAAATGGATGTCCTTTAACTGCCAGTAGCTCCCGAGATAGACAGTCCGTCAAACTAGCAACACTGTAATTATAGTGACATCTGTAATAAACTAACACGTCTGTAACCATAACACCTGGCGGAAGAGAGCTACAGACTAGGCAGAGGGCGGAACACATGACGACAGAGGTCGAGTAAGCGTAGGTTGGCCGCCGGCGACCGAGACTTCATCTGCAGACACCTGCGGCATACTAACAGGAGCCACCTAACTAATTACACAGAACATAAATAGCGCGCCGCCCGCCTTCGATAAGCATCTGCCGACATTGCACGTAGTTCAGCGCTCCAGGTATTACACACCGCCGCAGCGCAGCGTCCACGAATACAGCCAGTCGCCAGCAGTGGACTGATATCTCACGTTTGGCTCCAGTTAAAACACCGAGCGTCGCCGGCCGTCATTTGGTATGTCATCACATCGCAGTACCAGTGTTCAGTCCGAACACTGAACAGTAACAGCGCACAGTTCGCAACACACAGTCATTGGATTATGGTCGGCGATCTCGAACGGTGACTATCCTAGTTTGTCCGGCCGCAACACCAGACACCTATCGTATGTCTTTTACCGCGTCGACTCGACATTCGATAGCCCCATAGACCCTCATGGTCGCACGCTACAGAGGACAGAACGAGCCTGACCATATCCCCCAGGTCAGTGTCAATCTCACTAACAACATGGACTGCGCACGTCTGGAAAAACCAAACACGGTTCAGGGTGGCAGAATCCAGAGTAGAACGGAGCTTAGGCGTATTTTCTGTCACATTTCACATACGTTTGTAACCGCTTTGTAAAACCTAGCGGATCTTTTTAGAAAACTTAACAGAACTCTTCCACTTAAAAATTAAGAAGTGTGTTTACCTCCTAGAATTTCGATTTCCATCGGAGCTGCTGGCAGAATCCCGACTAAACTTAATTTAGCCAGGTATATATCAAAACTAACCTTTTCATTCGCCATCTCATGATAGTTAATTATGCAAATCAAATAAGTAATACGCAGCCAGATAATTTGTTAATACGAAAAGCTGGCAAAGTTCGCAAATCCCGATGATTAATTATGCAAGGCAAACCGTCAGCTTGTTAGATACACTCCATAATGTCCAATAGTAAATGTATGGCAGTTAACTTGTTTTATGAGCAACTGCAATGCTCAGTTAACTCCCTACAAATAGGGTTTAACATTTGGTTTATGAAAACCCTCTTCCCTCGATTGATCGTTTACGTACGGTCAGCATTATTTGAGGCGATGACCCTAAGGCCCGGGCACCATTTGGTGCCTCCAAGAACGCCAATCTCCTGAATCTCAGCTGCCGCACGTCACAATGGCAAACCTCCTCGGGCAGCCTCTGTGATCATCCTTTGTCACCTCTTATCTCCCTGCAGAGCGTCGACAGACCGCCGCGACAGCCGCCTACCGCGACGGGCACCGGGTCTGGGTAATGCGCATGCCCTTCTGTCCGGACGGCTGGTCCCGGTCGGCGTCCGTTTCCTCGGCCACGTGAACCACGATCGACGGGTGCTCGTCGCGGCCGGCGTGCAGCTCGTGCGACTCCCCTGCACCGAGAGGAAAGGGCAGGGGTCAGAAAGTGCAGGGGAGCACAGAAAGGCAGCGAGGGTAAACACGACACATTCAGCTGGGCTGGAGCGGATCCAATAGGTATATCATAGCGCTGATTAGTAGATGTAGCAGACGTGTAACAGGACCGCATAGCAATCTGATCACATATTTTTTAGATTGAATTTTTAGATTGAAACTATCATAATAGAATCGTTTTGATTAACACAGCACAAAACGTAGAGTCCCAGCATGGGGTTCCGTCGCGTCGGTCCGTGAGCTCACCTGGCGCCATCTGCGCGACAGCCGAGAGCAGGTCAAAGTTGACGATGGGCTCCGCCTCCCTGACGGGCTCCCAGCCGACGGGCGGTGACGCCGGCGGCGAGATGAGGAACTGTTTGTCCGGCAGTGGCGGCCGCAGCGTGCCGTCATCCGAGCCATCCCGGGACGACGGCGTCTGAAAAACAACTAGAGTTTCTCAGATAGTCCTAGAGCAATGGCCGACAGGATGTGGCAATCTATTTGAACTAGATGACAGTACTGCGGGTGGCAGTGTGATCACTGCCGAGACAACCCAAATACGGAGCACAGCCACGCTCTGAAACGCTAATAATTAGCTGAGATTTAGCCTACTGCGGCCAGCAATGGACGAGATATTGTTTGCGGTACCGTAGTCCCTCCGCCAGGGGCGGATCCAGAAAATCTCCAAGGGAGGGGCCATTAGAAACCAGGAGGCCCCCCCCCCCCATAATCCCACCTGTTGGAGGCCCCATCTTCCCACTTGTTGGGGCCCCCCCCCAAAAAAAACTGCGTCTATTGAGCTTATCTAGCTGTTCAGGCAACATCTCAACATCTGTGCAGGCTTGGAGGCCCTCTGTGCAGGTTAGGAGGCCCTGTAAAAGTGGTCATCTCTGTGAGTATAAGAGACCTCCAAGTTATGAAAAGCTTTACCAATCTTCTAACAAAGAAGTCTTCTCAGCTAGTCTTCTAAGAAATAACTAAGTGGGTAGGTTAAAAAAACTCATCGGATTTCGGCCACTTTATTTTCAGGAGGCCCCCTTTTCAGCTTTTTAACTTTTTAACTTTTTATTTTATTTTTGAAAAAAATCGGCCAAGGGGGGGGGGGGGCCATGGCCCCCATGGCCCCCCCTTGTATCCGCGCCTGCTCTCCGCTGATTTGGGTAGCTGCAATTTTTTTGATTCGTGAAACGTCCGTGATTTGTGGATCAAGGCCGTCGGCTGTCGACCTTTTACCAAACGCTTGGCTTATCGCTGACACATTGCTGCGAGACGGTACTGCTGCTATTGTTGGCACAGACCGCTGGCCCACTGGGTCCCGGCTCCGCCGGCCGCCGGGGATGTACATAATATGGTACGCTACCGGTCAAAGGGTGAGCGAACACGGACCGTGAACAACCCCACCCCCAACCCCACCCCCACATCGACGACTAGTCTACTTGATAGCCTCAGCGTAGACCACTATGACACAACACCAGCAGCTATAATTGTCAGTCATATGTGGAACGTATCACAAAAATGTCAAAGCATTGCGAGAGTGATATAACTCATCCAGCTTACGACCGAAGTTAGGCTTCAAACAAATTTGGAGTTCAAGACTGCTTCGTGGAATCGTTTCGTCGTCAAACATTTCAGCGCAGCTTCAGATGGGCGCTCGATAACAATTGATGTCAAAACGCAAATGTTATTCACAGGAAATGTGTCCTTGCTAAAACTAAATCCCTTACTAATCGTGAATAATAATTAGGGTTAATTGCAAGCAGCCCCTGACCACAATCATGGTTTTGTGCATGTATATTTTTACGCCACCCGTCGCCACCGGTCGGCTGACTGGGAACCTAGGACGTGAAACTTTATATGGCTTCCCACTGTGGACCATGTCAGCCTCTGGCGGGGGAGCGTGGGCAGGGAGCGAAAGGGTGGCGGGGTCCTCTTCCTGGCTGAAAAGACATCTTCCCGCAACAACGCATCCTTCAAATAATTGGAAAACAATGTTATGATATGGCAGATATGGCTAGAACGTAAAAAGCACTCGTAACTGCATATTGCGTATTGTGACGAAATAACAGCTACCTTTCAAACAACGGACAAAAAATGTACCAAAGATTCCAAATTCATATCAAACTGGCGTGCATGTTCCGCACGGCTCAACACAGTACCTGTATGAAGTAGCATTTGATGACGGCGTCGCAGAGCGTCGTTTCGTGCAGGTGAACCCGGGCGCTGGCGGCCGCCTTGGCGCTGCTGTAGTTGACCCGTGCACGCCGGAAGCTGGGGAAGTACTGGAACCACGCCTCGTCGTCGAAGGCGCCGAACGTATCCTCGAACACAGCCTGAAAAGTAGCTATAGTGAATCAGCGACTTTGTTCAGCTGGTTCGAAATGAAGAAGTCGGTGTCCGTAAAAATAATGTAGGTATGCAACAGCAGAACCTCCCGTTCTGTCTACGAACCTATAAAATATGGTCGATAAAATTACATTATCACTTCCCTGCTTTAGCAAAATATTGGTCGAAGTCGCGATTTTGAAATATCATTCAAGTTGCAACCCCAGACAGGCGCTTGTATCGCGAGAGATATCATCTTGGAACAACCGTGCTTTTCCCGTCAACCCACTGCCCAATCATCCAACCACCCAACTCCAACGTAACCGTACAAAATATCGCCACTTCGCCCAGCGGCGAGCACCCACCTTCTGCGCCGGGTCCTCGAACACGGGCAGCGGCAGGTTGGTCACGTGGATCGAGGTGGGCAGGTCGGCGTCGTCCAGCAGCTGGGCGGTACCGGCGGCCAGCGCGGCCGCCAGCGCGTCCTCACTGGGCTCGTCAGACGACCTGCTGGCCGTGCTGTCCTGCGACTCTAACGAGCCGCCGCGACCGGCGCCCGCTGACATGCTGTCTGATCCTCCGCCGACAGTTCACAGTGCAGCAGTCTGCAACTTCTCAGTGAGGCTGGGATCGCTGTAAAAGTATTACAGGAGTCAACTCAAAGTCAACCCAAGCATCCAAATTTGTGCTGAATTATCACTAGCTGACTGTTCAAACAAGCAAAATAAAACAGTCCTCTTATTTATAACTATACTAATTACCTACTAACTAGTTATTTTATTACTTGTGTTGGTTTACTAATTCACTAGTTTATACATCATAGCTGGAAATATAACTAATATTCTTATAGCTAGAAAACTCATGTAGTTGATCCCACAAGCAGGGTCCCACTCCTGGCCCAAATATGCCTCCTCAGTGCTCACTATCTGCATGGCATAAGACAAAGTGAGATGTCAGCAGCTCCAAATTATCAGGTGCTACCAAGCTCATATGCTGCAGTTGCATGATACTGATACATTATTTACATATTCCACTTTGTTTCAAGTCAGATGGTCTATGGTCATAAAGCTTATAAGGTCAAAGAGATAAGAATTTGTGCTGCACTAGCACACCCATTGAACTGGTTTAGCTACTCTGGATTTCAAATTTCCTACATGTTGTGAACATTAAGTGACTGCATCTGCTGACTGCAGTGCTAATGCTTGGGACTTTGGACCCTTTTCTAACAAAATTCAATCCCTTTGATAAGCTGCACTTATAAAATAATTCAAATTTCTAATGAATCTAAATTATAATTCATATGCAAGAAGTTTTCACAGACAATTTCACACCCAATGATGCTATTACCAATGCAACTTTACTATTGACAGTGGAAAGATTTCCACAGTGGGTCTGGGAAGACTTAAATCAACAATACCAACGCCTATCACTAGAGCACCATTGAGGTGTTTGCTGTAGGATTTACACTAGATTTGTTGTGCTAGGGCTTCTTGCAATATTGATGTTGAAAATTTTCACAATAATCATAGAGATCTTTTGTCATTTCAATTTCGACAGGTACCAAAGTAACAGCCTATATAGATATCAATATTGCAATTTGCAAGATAGGCATCTCGTAAAAATAAGCACTTTGAACTTACAGCTTACGACCCCACTGCTTTGGCCCCACCTCACTGCTCTCCACACATGAAAATTGAGAACCCCATGTCAACACTTCCACAGCATCTTAGAAGCCCACCTCAACTGCCATCTTGCATCAACTGATCACGGTGCGCAAACTTGGAGAGGGCATTACTTTTTAGCTGAACTTCAGTCTTATGTTTCAGGAGAAAAGCTTAGGAATCAACCCAGTTTCCAGTTTTGAATGAGAGGATTGGGATAAGTTTCCATCCAAGGCTGCTAAGAACCCTTAGGCTGAATGGGATGAATTGAAATTTTGATTTGCAATATCAAAGGTCAAAGGTCAAGTGCAAAGCAGTTTGAACGGACGATTATGAAGTTGCAATCCATAACAATGCATTACCAGGACAGAGGACTAGAAACGTTATAACAATAAGCTGTAATGTATATAACAAAATACAAAATTCGACCGCGTAACTTACCTATATAAACGAACGCTCCACCGAAATTTTTAATTTCTTTTCATGACGATGCGTCATGCAAAATATTTTTTGCGCCATCAACTTGTAGATGCTGCGTCAGAAATGGAAAAGTTTAGGTGACTGTTCATAAAGTTCGCTTATTCTACTTGCAGACGTTAAAACGCGAATCAACGACAACATAAGCCGCTCTGCAGTGCGCGACAGCATTACGAAACCAGTTTTGAACATTTTGTTTTCATAAATGTTTTCTTTTGATCCCGTTGGTTTTCGTTTGGTTTTCGTCCTAGCGTTTCCGATTTTCCTCTTCCCGAATTTCAATTTGTGAATTGTGAAAGCTCTTTGACTTGGTGGGTTTATCTCATGCTTGATCTTTAAGAATCTTGGATGGGTTATTATTAAGTCCTTAGATAAGGTGGCCTGTTATTAATTTGCCTTCCCATGTGACCAGAAATAAAATGATGTTAGATCATGCTGGTTCAGATCAGTCATGGGCTATTATTTTTGCTATAATGATTCATGTTCAGTCAGGCACGTAGATAGGTAGGTAAGTATTTGATTTATTTGATGTCATTATTTGAAAAGATGTAAACGGGTCTGAAAAGTTAAGCGCAAAGCCGCAAAGTGGAAGTGTCTAACTGATTATTAGTAAATTGAAATGACTATTGTGACGTTCCATCAGCCTTCAGCTGATCGCACTTCTAGAGGCACCAACAGTCCCGAGTGCTCAGACTGAGTATATTGTCGAGAAACAAGAACTAAGCAACATGCACCTGCAAACAGACAAACAGTCAATGACAGTCAGGACGGAAATACATGCAGCTCCCAGCGAGGGGCAGTGCGCATGCGGTCATGCGGACGAGCACATGTGAGCGTTGGGGAAGCATGTATGCACAAGGGGGTAAGACAGCAGGCATGACATGCGGTTGTGCAGCGGACATGTTAGCGCGAACATAGATAAAGGACAGTGCGAGAAGGAATACATACAAGCAGGCAAAACCAGATCAGTGCAATAAATGATACCACCGTGACATCACCTTCCCGAAAAAAAAAATGGACTCACGAACCGGTGATACAGACGCTGAGGGAAAGTGTGGTATAACATCACGGACCATACCGCGGGTTGCGCCGTATCTCTCTGCCTGATCGAGACACAGCGGGGAGGAAGTTCAACGGATCATCCGCGGAGGCCGGGATCTGTGCGACAGGAACAGGAGCGGGTTCGATGCTTGGTCGCTGGCTGACCTCGGCTGCGCCCTGTGCATCATAAGGCACGGCACTCGCATCTTCGTCCGCAGGTGTGTGGGCGGCAGTGTCGTCTGCAACTTCAGATGGTCCGGGCTGATCTCCAGTGTTGCCGTGAGACGGAGGGCAGCAGTCCTGTACAGTCACATGAGCGTCGCCACCGAATGCTGCTGGCACGGATTTGACGCGGTTCATGTGCACACACTTCTCTGAGCTCCCTATGAGCACGAAAACGTTGCTGTCGACAATTCTTGTCACCAGGTATGGACCGCTGTACATAGGATCCAGCCCACAACGCTCTTCTATACGGACCATGACTTTATCTCCTGTCCGTATTCCACGTTCAGGCGGCGATACTCTAGTCCGATCGTAGTACTGCTTGGTTCTGTTCTTCGCCCTTTTGCTGTTTTCCCATACACGGCGATAGGAGTCGGGACGAGTAGCCTGCAGCTCATCCACATGATCTTCGGGGCTGACGTACGCCGCGGGCTCAGGCCTCAGAGTGCAACACACTCTGCGGTGGTCTCAGGGTAACGCCGTACATGACTTCGTGCGGAGACACTTGGGTACCCGCATTCTTCGCTGAGTTGAAGATGAACGTGACTTCTTTCATAATTTGTGGCCACTCTGTGGTCTGCATCTTCCTTTCGGCGAGGAGGCAACGGAGCAGTTGCTTTGCAGATTGGACGCATCTCTCTGCCAGTCCGTTGCCCTCCGGATGGTAAGGACTCGAGCGACGTTTCTTGATATTGTAATCTGAACAGAAACGCCTGACTGCCTCACCGTCCATGTTTCTTGCCTGATCAGTGACCAGTATTTCAGGCAGTCCATGACTGTATACCCATCCCGTCATCAGGGACTGCAGCACCGTGTCAGCCATCTGGTCTTTCATGGGTATGAATTCTGCGTATCTTGAGAAAAGATCCACCACCACCAAGAAATACCGGTAGCCTGATGCGCTCCAGGGTAGGGTGCCAACGTCCATGGCCACCGTCTTCCGTGGAGCTAGATCCCCGACTTCATAAGACTGCAACTCTACCTCTGGCTGGTAGGACCTCTTATTGGCACTACATACGGCACACTGAGCGCACACAGCACGCACACAAGCTGGCAGCCCAAGTGAGAAGAACTGGCTCTTCACTCTCTGTAGAGTCCTCTCCACGCCCAGGTGTTCCGCCTTGTGCACCGCTTCCACCACTTCTCGTTGGATGCTCCCGGGTACGACCACTCGCTGACCTTTCATCAAGACGCCATGTCTCATCGTCATGTCTCGGTAGTGCCGATATCGTCCTTTGGTGATCTGGCCATTGGCAATCATCTGTGACGCTGCGAACACCGTCACTGGATCTTCTCTCTGCGAGACTGTCACTCTGCTCAACAAATCGGTGTTCGTAAGCCTGTAGACGTGTCTCTCAAAGTGCTCACTTTCATCGTTCAACTGTGGGTCCACGGGTTGGTTAATCCTGCTGAGACAGTCCGCTCCAGCATTTTCGGTGCCCTTCCGATACACGATCTGATAGTTGTAGGATTCCAGCTCCATTAGCCACCTTGCAAACTTGTGCCTGGGATCCTTCTGCCTCCGGAGCCAGACTAGCGGGTTGTGGTCCGTGACCATCACGATTTTTGTAGCGGCCTGCAGGTAGGTTCTCCATTTCCGCACTGCCGCTACTAGCGCCCAACACTCCAGCTCGCTCGCAGAGTAGTTACGCTGAGCACTTGTTAGACCTGATGAGAAGTAGGCTAGCGGCCTTCGTACGCCGTCTTCTGTTTCTTGCGACAAAATCCCACCAACACTCACACTGCTCGCGTCCACTTCGACCCAGAACGGTCTGTCCCACCTTGGGAACGCCAGAACCGGCGCTTTCACCAGAGCGGTTCTGAGTGACTCAAAACTGATGTCACACTCTTTTGTCCACAGCCACTTGGAGTCCTGGTGTGTCAACTGGTAGAGCGGAGCTGCAATGTAGCCCATCTTCGGTATGAAGTGACGGTAGAAATTCACGAGGCCTAGAAATCTCTGCACTTCTTTCTTGGAGCTGGGTCTTGGGTAGCTCTGGATCGTTGACACGTGAGACTTCAGAGGGCGGTAACCTTCACCACTAACTTCGTGGCCCACAAACTCTCCCTTCTCATAGGCGAAGCGGCACTTGTCTAGCCGTAGCTGCATGTTTGCCATCTTGTAGGCATCCAGTGTCTTCTTGAGGTAGGTCACGTGGTCCTCCACATCTCGTGTATGAACGCAGGCGTCGTCAATGTAGCATTCTACTTGCGGAATTCCAGACAGCACCTGGTCGATGACGCGTTGATATGTGCTTTGGCTGTTGCACAAGCCAAAAGCCATGACATTCATCTCGAATTGCCCTTTCGGGACAGCAAACGCAGTCTTTTCTTTGTCTTCCTCGCGAATCGGGACCGACCAGTACGCACTTGCTCCGTCCAGGAACGAGAACACCCGACTTCCAGCCATCTTGTCTAGGATGTCTTGCCAGTTCGCTGCTGGATAGGCATCCTTTTTGGTCGCCTTGTTCAGATCCCTGTAGTCTACTACAAATCGGTACGAAGAGTCTTTTTTCCTCACCAGGATGACACGGCTACTCCACGGCGAGTTTGAGGGTCGACAGATGTCGTTGTCCAGCATCTCTTTCAGCTGTTTGTTGACTTCATCTTCCATCTCTGGTGACATCCGCGACGATTTCTGTTTCACAGGCCTTGCATCCCCAGTCTCTATGTTGTGTTCAGCCAATGTCGTCTGAGTAGGCTTCTTGGGGTTAACGGCGAAGACGCTTCGTGATTCCCAGAGAACATTGAAGACCCTCTCTTTCACTCCTGGTTCGAGAGCTGGGTTGATCCGGGACCGCAGTTCTGACGCAGACGGAGACACCATTCCCTCCAGCACTGCGACTGCAGCTCGACCGTCCTGTCGACCTCCGCTCAGCATGACGTCAGGCGTCTTCCATACACTCCCGAGCCGGATGCGACCTTTCCGCCAATCGAACTCGGTAGAGGGGAATCGGGAGAGGAAATCTCGACCAAGGATGACGACCGATTCATCCCCGCTGAGCACTTTCAGAGAGTGACGCACCATTTGACCATCGCCAACATCGATGTTCACAGAGATAGTTCCTAGAACCGTGACTTTTCCACCTACTCCTGACACAGAATCTAGATCATTGCTATACTCAACCTTGCCTCCCAGCCGGGCACCTCGCACAGAACGCTCATCGATCACTGACATAGATGCACCAGAATCGAGGAGTGCAGCGACGCGCGCGCCATCAAAACTCACGTTCAGTGTCACGGCATGTTCATCCCCTTCTCTGTCACTGCCCTCCACGCGATATACCTTATGCCCTGATCTACAATCCTTGGCACTGTGTCCCTTTTTGCCACATTTGGCACAGTGTCGTGACGGACATTTGAACATGAGATGGTCAGGTGAGTTACATAGGTAGCACAATGCCCCTTTCCCTTTCTTCCTTTCCCTTCCCTGTACAGCATAGACCTTAGGAGACTTCCCATCACCGTCATCAGCATCTGTTGCCGTGCGAAGGTCACACATCACCTGAGCACTCTGCTCAGGAACTGGCGCGCCTGCCCCTGCCTCTGTGGTTTCGCAAAGCCTGACTGCTCCTACAAACTGTCTCGACCCCCTATCTAGCGGCAATCCTCTTTCCACCAGCCAGGTCTTGACATCTTTGATGAATACCCGTAACGATGAGTCACTGAGTTGTTGGCAATCTGCCAGCCAAGTCTTTGCTTTTGACTGTACTTCTTTCGGAAGCTGAGACACAAACAGTGAACACACAAAACCAAGATCAGCAGCAGCTTTCACACCCAAACGTTTCAGTTGAAAGAAAAAATCATCAACCTGTACACCTGGTACCCAGTCTAGGCGACACATCTCCTGCATGTACTGATACTTATCAACCGGTGGGTCTAGCGTACTGACCAGAACATCAAAAGCTGCATCAAGCGTATCGCAGTCACTCAACACTTCTCTCACTAGTTCACGCTCTGCAGTGCGACGGTTGATGTATGCTGGCAGCAGGCCGATGGCGAGTGCTTCCCCCTCAGGACCTCTAGCCAGCAGGGTGCTGACTCCTGCTTTGAAGAGAGGTTTCCAGTCTTCTATCCTCTCCTCAGGTTGCAGCGCTGGGATAGGCAGATTCATAACCACCTGGTCGATGGCTGCCGTAGTTCCCTGTCCCCCATCAGCCTCCTTCTTCATTCTGTTGTCCATGTTTAATAAGCTAGTTCTTGTTTATGTGACGTTCCATCAGCCTTCAGCTGATCGCACTTCTAGAGGCACCAACAGTCCCGAGTGCTCAGACTGAGTATATTGTCGAGAAACAAGAACTAAGCAACATGCACCTGCAAACAGACAAACAGTCAATGACAGTCAGGACGGAAATACATGCAGCTCCCAGCGAGGGGTAGTGCGCATGCGGTCATGCGGACGAGCACATGTGAGCGTTGGGGAAGCATGTATGCACAAGGGGGTAAGACAGCAGGCATGACATGCGGTTGTGCAGCGGACATGTTAGCGCGAACATAGATAAAGGACAGTGCGAGAAGGAATACATACAAGCAGGCAAAACCAGATCAGTGCAATAAATGATACCACCGTGACACTATGACCATGAGCAAGATTTAATTCAGACAAAGTCAAAGGAGTCCTAAAGTGCTTTAAATTATCAGCTGAAAATTCAGTCATTGGAAAGATCTGTAGCCCAGACTCCAGCATGAAATGTGCATTGCGTAGGTACATATTTTGTATCACTTCTTAGATGGTTATTAGTGTCATAATGCACACTTCCTCACTGTCTGCAATTATTTATCTGTCATGATGCTGATTCTCATTTTCACAGGATAAATCTCTAGCTGTACAGCTGAGTACTTGTAAAGCTATCAGCTGCCAGTTGAAAATGGCAGCACGTGCTTTCCGCTGGCGAAGGCCTTACACAGTAATCCTCTCAGCTGTTGGCCTACTGATGTTATGTGATCTGTTTGGGGTGTTCAGACATATGTTTGAACTTGATTATGATACCCATTTCACATACCCACTAGATAGTGAGGTTAATTTCTATGTAAATTTGATGCTAAGTGGCCAGCAGTCACCAGTCACTCCCCTGGAGTCACACCAGTTTCGATACCTGATCGATCCACGGGAGCGATGCAGTGGGCAGAGACCCCTGCGGCTGTTGATCGCCATAAAGTCTGCACCGGACCACGTGGAGCGGCGGCGCGTTATTCGACAAACGTGGGCTGAGCTACGCACCGACGTGCGTCACGTATTCCTGCTTGGCACGCGCGCTGGCAATTACGAATTGCAACGGACCGTGCGCCGTGAAGTGGAAGAATACAATGACATCGTGCAGGCCTACTTCCAAGACTCTTACTACAATAACACTCTGAAGACGATGAGTGGGTTCCGCTGGGCGATAGAGCGGTGCGCCGATGCCGAGCACACGCTGTTCGTCGATGACGACATGTACGTGTCGGTGCCGAACGTTCTGCGGCTGGCGGCGCAGCGGGCCGAGTACCCGGCGCCGGAGGGCAGTACGGCCGCCGCCGCCGCCGTGCCGCAGCCGGACTCACCGCTGCTGGTCGGCTACGTGTTCCCGGCGTCCTCGCCTCACCGCCATCGGTTCAGCAAGTGGTTTGTGCCTCTGCAGGAGTATCCCTTCAGTCGGTGGCCGCCCTACTGTACGGCCGGCGCCTACGTGGTGTCTCGCTCGGCCCTGCGAAGGCTTCTCTACACGAGCTACTACACGAAAATGTTCAGGTGAGAGTCGATACGTTGGAGAATATTAATGATTTAATAAGTCCTGTCCTCAAGATTTTCCGTGAACTAGCCGTCGACACCGTCACCGTCAACAACGTGACTGTACCACATACACTAACCAAACACTAAAAGATGCTTACATTCAAACACAGGTCATGAAACTGCTGAAATCGAAAAAAGACCCACATATCTATCACGCAATTCTTAAAGATCTAATGGGAAGGAGAAACAACCGAAGCTTGCCTCCACTCATCGGACAGGACGGTACACCACTGACTGACGACATTGACAAAGCGACTACACTCAACAAACATTTTGCCGCTCAGACACGACTCGACATACATGACAAACCAATGCCTCCTATTAGCCCCCCGGGACCTCACGTCCCCACGCTAGCAGAGGTCCGAGTTACTGAGCCTGAAGTTCTTAACATTCTTAATCGCCTGGACTCAAACAAATCCTCGGGTCCAGATAAAATTCCAGCTAAACTGTTGAAAATGTGTGCCATGATAATCGCCAAACCACTAACAATCCTCTTCAACAAGTCATTACAATCAGGGGTATTTCCGGAATCTTGGAAAAAAGCATGTGTCACACCCATTTTCAAGAAAAAAGGATCTAGCTCAGACCCGGGAAACTATCGTCCAATAAGCCTCCTTCCAAATGTATCCAAAATCTTAGAAAAATTGGTATTTAAAGGTAGTGTGCCACCTTTGAAAGATTTCCCATTTTATTTTTCCCAGGATAAGAAGCTTCTGTTTTTACCTAATATCGCAAAAAAAAAATCAAAAATAGGCCTGGAATAGTGCCTTTTTCGCCTAAAAGTTTATCGGTTTTTCGATATGTATAACAACTGTAGTGGGCTGGCCTGCAAACAGGCGTCGGCAACAATCGCGAATGCGGCGCACATGTGACAATAAGCAAAGGTCATTATAGAGTTACGACGTACGGGAATGAGTTATCAGCTGTCTAATCGTAGACAACACAATGTCGAGCCTTAAACTGTAAGCCTGTATTGGTATTGTTTCTTTTATTTGGCTGTCGAACATTATTTATGGTTTGAAATGTGATTTTATGTAAAATAATTGATATGAAACAGCCGTCTCTTAAGTTATGACCCCATTTCACCACACGCAAGTGGCAGAAATGACAATGATCAGCTGACGCATTTTTCTTGGCCGAAGTCAGAGCGCGCGGCCCGACGCACCACCACCGCACCACAAATTATGAGCAGAAGCCGCGCCCAAAGCCAGGGCCCCGGTAACGTGAGGTAGCCGAGTCGGGGCAGCGTGCGCTGATCCAAGCCGGGGCCGCAGCTTTGGGCGCGGTCTACCGCATCCCCGCGGGCAGCCCCGGGCTATCACATGACACCGGGAGGACGTGCGGCCCCGGCTTGGGTCAACGCACGCTGCCCCGACTCGGCTACCTCACGTAACCGGGGCCCTGGCTTTGGGCGCGGTCTACCGCACCACCTAACAGGCGTGTTCGAAACCGCAGGAGATGATGATGAACGAGTTTATCGAAACTTGATTGGATGAGCATATCGGTAATAGCGATTTCAGTGTGTGCATTTATTGCTCATAGTGGTGTGAAATGTGGTTGGGGTACGACCGACAACCCGTCGGGGCGAATTTCGCACTGGGGTACTCAAAATTTGAAGAATTTAAGACGTTTCCATGAGTTTTGAAGGTATGGATAAGTTCTAAAAATCCGGTTCTTCTTATCTGGGCCATTAACTCCATACGGTCCAGGAAAGCTGGCACACTACCTTTAACAAAATCTACAAACATATAACTGAAAATGAACTTATATCCGATAAGCAAAGCGGATATCGTCCAAATCACAGTACAGATATACAACTTGTATACCTTACCCACCAATTATTTTCAGCACTAAACAGAAAAGAAAATTTCACAGCCGTCTTTCTCGATATTTCAAAATATTTTGATAAAATATGGCACAAAGGTTTACTTAAAAAATGTGAAATACAATACAACATAACAGGAAACGTCTTGGAATGGACAAAGTCGTATTTGAGCAAACGGACGCAAGAAGTGAGAGTAGGAGACAGTTTTTCTCCGCCGGAACAAATTTCGTCAGGCTGCCCACAAGGTTCAGTGCTCGGGCCTCTGCTGGCTATTATGTATCTTAACGACCTGTCAAAAGTCACGCAGAACGAAGCACTTTTTTACGCCGACGACACTTCCTTATATTCATCACATCCACATGACAGCCAGGACCATAGAACGACGATACAAAAAGACTTGGACGACATAGGACGTTACGGAGACGACTGGGCAATCACCTTCAACATGGGTGGAGAACCTGCCCCGGCCACCCCGGCCGTGGCCGGGGTAACTTTCAGTCTACCCCGGCGCGGCCGGGGTAACTTTTCCACTCTTGTAAATCCTAAAAAGCTGTCTCCATATGAGCAAAGAAAACTCTCACTCTTCGAATGTTGGCTTCCGTGGGCGTACTATTGCAAATCAGGTAGGTATACTATTTATGATTTACGTAACTTGCCATAATCTCCAACCCTAGGACCCGCTTATGGTCGCCAATGCCAACTTTGCACTCAAATCCTGTTCAGTTTCGAAAATTTGGCGCGCCTTCGGCGCACTTTTTCAAAACCACTGCTTGACTTCACTGCCTTCGACTGGCCTGCCACCAACCGCAACCATACCCTTTTATGAGCGTACCCGTCAGGGTGCTCATAAACACCGAACGTCCGTCAAGCTTCAAGCTCGGACTGTTGTTACCGGGACGCGTGTTCTCGCCACGCGGAGTCCAACGCTCTAGCGACTGAGCTGCGAGACCGGGACCGGTCGATATTCCTGGATCGACTCCCTGTTCGTCTTATAAAAGCCGCCCAACATTGAAAAAGGCTGCGTCCGTGGATGTCAGTGACCAATTTTAGCGCTTTGGTTTGATCTTTCAATTTTCTCTGTAAAGCTTCTACGTGGTGAGTTGTCGTCTTTTTGTAGCATTTTGAGACACAATAAAAAGCTGAAAACGCAACATTTACTCAAAATGGCGTATGATATGGGGTATGGTGTGAAATTGCAGGTTTAAGTAGAAAAATCACTTAAAAGCAAATTGCCTTTTCAATCATTCCAAAAATGTTATGAATAGTACGATGTCGGATGCAACTCTCATCCTTGAACAATTAACAAACACAACATCCCTTGTTCCATTTCCATGGGCCAGAATCAGGGCTGCAGAGTCGGATTCGGAGTCGGTCGGAGTCTGCAGTTTTGCCCGAAGTCGGAGGCGGAGCTGGAGTCGCTAAAATCTTACCGACTCCGACCCCGGAGTTGGAGTTAAGACTGCATGGCTCAAAGTCATGCCCATGCACCTGGCTGCTTGACGATTTTTCTTTCGTTGACCTTCCAAAATCAGGTTTTGTTGAATGTAAGGACCTCTTTTGGACCAGCGCTTTTTATTGAAAAAAGCTGAAAAAGGCTGATGCGTCAAAACCTGTTTTTATTTTGCATGCTATTTCAAGAGTACTCATTTGCAATACAAGGCCTTGGAGCGCGCAAAAAAAATCGCTTCAGGCAAGATAAAAATATCCAACCTAAAATTTGATTTCATTACATGGACTTAATGAGCAATTCCCGGAGTCGGGGCTGGAGTCGGAGATGGAAATGGAGTCGATTTTTGAAGCCGGAGTCAGGGTCGGAGTCGGAATCACCTTAAAATATATCGACTCCGCACTCCGCAGCCCTGGTCAGAATAGCACTGGTTGCTTATGACGATCGTTGACAACAACGTGGGCATATCGTCTTTCCGACTATCGGTCGCCGGCCGGGGTAACTTTTTCAAACATTCTCCACCCATGACCTTCAATGCACAGAAAACTATACAATTGACATTTTCCAACGTACATGACAACCAGGACTTCAAGCTACATTTTAAAGGGCAAGACATTCCCACTACGAGTTGCCACAAGCATCTCGGACTCACTCTTTCGACTGATCTTTGTTTTCACCAACATGTTAATAGCATTGTCCGTACAATTAATTCATTACTTGGACCTATCTACCCTATAGCCAAATTTCTCACTAGGCCTATGCTCAGCGACATCTACACAACATACATAAGACCTTACTTTGACTACTGTGACATCATTTACGACGGCAACTTGACAATCAAAGACAAAATCCGCCTCCAGAGACTTCAAAATCGATGTGCAAGACTCGTTACTGGAGCACTATACAGATCACCGACAGACGCACTTTTGAATGACTTAGGGTGGGAAAGACTGGAAACGAGACGACTCATTCACAGACTCATTTTCTTTCACAGACTTTATAATAACAATCCTCCCCTACCTACATATATCACCAACATTTTGACTGACACAAGACAGGGTGCTACAGGACTTCAACTTAGAAACGCTACCCTACTATCGCTTCCCCCGATTAGACTCACATCCTTCCACCGATCCTTTATCCCAGCAACTATCAGGCAGTGGAATCTTCTTCCTGCTGCTATGCGTGCCATTCAATCCCGCTCTGATTTCTCTCGTGAAGTCTGGCAGCGATTTGGGACAACAGAACCTCCACTGTCACATTCAGTCGGCACAAAGACAGCAAACACACACCACACCAGACTGCGCATCGGACAAACATTACTGAACGCACATCAATTCCGAACGCAACACCCAAACGTCCTTACTCCAGCGTGCATTTGCGGTCACCCAAATGAAACAACCACTCACTACATAATGGACTGTCCTCTGTACCAAACAGCCCGATCGCAACTGTTCGGTGTCATGCAGGCTATCGTTCCAAACTTTGATAATCTCTCAGGAAAAAGTAAGCTTGACATCCTTTTATTTAATAGAAACGTCACAAGCATGGTGGGTGTACATGTGGCTCACCACTTACAAACATACATTCAAAACACCAGGCGATTTACTAACACAGCGTAACATTGACACAAGTGCGAGTATAGGTACACACTCACAACCACACACCACCTTCCAGCACACACACTCACTTCACTCATCTGAGCCGGCGGTGGCCGCCCTGTGCGCGGGACCGAGCGGGCTTTCCCTATTCCAGTTGGATGCTTCGTGGGTAGTTGGCGGGGTCGGCGTGGTTCTGTCCCCTGCTGGCTGTGTTAGTGGATCCATGATTTATTATCTTGTTAAATTCTGTTGCAATTGTTTAGCTTTGGAGAGGCGCCTCGACTTAAGCGTTAGCTTTTGCGCCGATCCGCCATGTAAACGTGTTTGCATTTGTCAATGAGACAATAAAATACTTGTGTGTGTGTGTGTGTGTGTGTGTGTGTGTGTGTGTGTGTGTGTGTGTGTGTGTGTGTGTGTGTGTGTGTGTGTGTGTGTGTGTGTGTGTGTGTGTGTGTGTGTGTGTGTGTGTGTGTGTGTGTGTGTGTGTGTGTGTGTGTGTGTGTGTGTGTGTGTGTGTGTGTGTGTGTGTGTGTGTGTGTGTGTGTGTGTGTGTGTGTGTGTGTGTGTGTGTGTGTGTGTGTGTGTGTGTGTGTGTGTGTGTGTGTGTGTGTGTGTGTGTGTGTGTGTGTGTGTGTGTGTGTGTGTGTGTGTGTGTGTGTGTGTGTGTGTGTGTGTGTGTGTGTGTGTGTGTGTGTGTGTGTGTGTGTGTGTGTGTGTGTGTGTGTGTGTGTGTGTGTGTGTGTGTGTGTGTGTGTGTGTGTGTGTGTGTGTGTGTGTGTGTGTGTGTGTGTGTGTGTGTGTGTGTGTGTGTGTGTGTGTGGTGTGTGTGTGTGTGTGTGTGTGTGTGTGTGTGTGTGTGTGTGTGTGTGTGTGTGTGTGTGTGTGTGTGTGTGTGTGTGTGTGTGTGTGTGTGTGTGTGTGTGTGTGTGTGTGTGTGTGTGTGTGTGTGTGTGTGTGTGTGTGTGTGTGTGTGTGTGGTGTGTGTGTGTGTGTGTGTGTGTGTGTGTGTGTGTGTGTGTGTGTGTGTGTGTGTGTGTGTGTGTGTGTGTGTGTGTGTGTGTGTGTGTGTGTGTGTGTGTGTGTGTGTGTGTGTGTGTGTGTGGTGTGTGTGTGTGTGTGTGTGTGTGTGTGTGTGTGTGTGTGTGTGTGTGTGTGTGTGTGTGTGTGTGTGTGTGTGTGTGTGTGTGTGTGTGTGTGTGTGTGTGTGTGTGTGTGTGTGTGTGTGTGTGTGTGTGTGTGTGTGTGTGTGTGTGTGTGTGTGTGTGTGTGTGTGTGTGTGTGTGTGTGTGTGTGTGGTGTGTGTGTGTGTGTGTGTGTGTGTGTGTGTGTGTGTGTGTGTGTGTGTGTGTGTGTGTGTGTGTGTGTGTGTGTGTGTGTGTGTGTGTGTGTGTGTGTGTGTGTGTGTGTGTGTGTGTGTGTGTGTGTGTGTGTGTGTGTGTGTGTGTGTGTGTGTGTGTGTGTGTGTGTGTGTGTGTGTGTGTGTGTGTGTGTGTGTGTGTGTGTGTGTGTGTGTGTGTGTGTGTGTGTGTGTGTGTGTGTGTGTGTGTGTGTGTGTGTGTGTGTGTGTGTGTGTGTGTGTGTGTGTGTGTGTGTGTGTGTGTGTGTGTGTGTGTGTGTGTGTGTGTGTGTGTGTGTGTGTGTGTGTGTGTGTGTGTGTGTGTGTGTGTGTGTGTGTGTGTGTGTGTGTGTGTGTGTGTGTGTGTGTGTGTGTGTGTGTGTGTGTGTGTGTGTGTGTGTGTGTGTGTGTGTGTGTGTGTGTGTGTGTGTGTGTGTGTGTGTGTGTGTGTGTGTGTGTGTGTGTGTGTGTGTGTGTGTGTGTGTGTGTGTGTGTGTGTGTGTGTGTGTGTGTGTGTGTGTGTGTGACACTAAATATATTGATATTTACCTATATAGAATATATAAATGAAATGCCTCAGAATACGGATGATGCACATTATCGCACTATGCCTATCAGCACTGACTTGTTTAGAACAAAATACCAGCACTTGCAGGCTGTGTGGTTGCGGTGGTTTGTTATTCTGCCCCTGTGTACCCGTCTCAGCCTTCGCTTATTATTATTTATTACTGCCGTCTTTTCGTTACGACCGACGAATCTGATGATCTGCATTTGCCTTGACAGGTTTGATGACATCTACCTGGGCCTGGTGGCGCAGAAGGCCGGAGTAAAGCCACTGCACACCGACTACATCCACTTCTGGGAGCAGACCTACAGCCCGGACGAATTTCGGCACGTGGTGGCCGCTCACGGCTTCCACGATCCGAGTCGGCTGCTGGCCGTCTGGAGCGAGCAGCATAAGCTCGGCAACGCCTGACAACTTCACTGGTGATGTACCGCCTCTTCCTGTCTATTTGAATCGTGTGATACTACACCGTGGACAGACGACCAAGCGAGACTTATGAAGGGTCGTGTTTTATAGTTTGCTAGACTACACGATAGTCGATACGAGACTTGAAGCGGCGGGTACCGGCTCAGTGGTGTGAAGACGCTTATCGGAGGATGGTCTTAAATGTATACGTACCTTGTAAACGATCGACAGTGCGGGGTAGTCCACTCGATGATAATAATGGGTCTTAACTATTGGAGTAAAGCGTTGCGAGGTAACGTGATCTCCATGAATTCCACTGAAGTGAGGAAGTGTGCCGATGCTGACCAGTTACCCGTTGATATGGTGGTGTCGACGATACGTGTGCCTAGCAAGAATGCCGCTCGGCTCATACAAGTTCTAACGTGAGATTGGTATAATCATCTGCTTACGTGCTATGAGCGAGTGTTTGCATTATCGTTTGAAAGTTGTTATGGCATAAATGCTAGTCATAGACCTACTATTCAGGGTGTGAGGAAACCTTGAAATCGCAGTGTGACATGATGCTAGGTCTTCCGTCGTCCCCAAAGATGTGTTGTTACCCGAGTTGCAGTTGACCTCTGCGTTCGAAGATCTCAAATACCTACTGCATTGCCGCGTTTCCGTATTGTCTTAGAGGCTCGATTGGTGACAGAATCAAGTTCAGACTGTGATTGGGGTGTTTTCAAGCGTGTATAAACTGAACTGTGCTAGCTTTATCATCCGAACTATAATTATTGCGTTTCTGTTTTTGCATTGTTAGTTCCGTGTGAACAATTCATATTTGACAGGGGAAAATAAAGTTAATGAAAGCTACAGGTGAACCCATACCGGGCGATTTTAATTGTACATTGTACCAAGCAGTGCGGGAAAAGAGGGTTTAAATAGCATGTTCACGGAGGGGTGACCGATCCGCCGTTCTGTCGCGCTATTTCTTAGAAATGGCACGCCAAATTCCAGTACCCGCCACTAGTAGGAAAAGCGTTTACTTTTGTATGCAGAGTGTGAACATATTTTTTTATAGACGTGCAGGGGCAGATCCAGGCAATCCGTTTGGAGAGGGCAACCGTTTCCCACCCATTCGGCGACCCCGACCCACCACCGCACCGGTGACCAAGCGAGTTAAAGGGACCCTCCCACCTTAACATTAGTTTTGAGTTGAGATAGCCAAGTTTGCGGCCAGGCTCAGAAACCACCATTTATCCTGGTCGCAACCCACGCAGCTTTATGGTGTTCAAGAAATTTCTTCCCTTTACTTGCAGGGTGGGACCAGCGTGGTCCCTATCTCTTAAAGGGACCCTCCCACCTTAACATTAGATTTGAGTTGAGATAGCCAAATTGGTGGCCATGGCCTGAAAATACCGGTTTGGGCACTCACAACATCGAAAAATGCTTTAATTCAGAGATATCGAATTTCAAACTTGCAGTTTTCGGATTCTAAGGGGCTAATGCATTGGTATGCCCCCTTAGAATTTGTGACGTCAGCGGAGATCTAACGATTTTAAATCTTTTACTAAAACGTTTGGTAGCACGCGGTGGTATATGCTGCTTTGCGCGCAACAAATGCCGCACTTTCAAATAAAGTCGCTAGGAACAGCGGAGATCCCAAAAAGTAAACAAAAGTAAAAGTCTAATATCTTGAAAACCGGTGAATATTTTTCGATGAAATTTGGTAGATATTCGTTTTTGCTCTTTCTGAACCGAGCGACATCACTTTCATGCCAATTCATTAACTTTTTTGAATGTGGGAGGGTCCCTTTAACCATTAGTGGGAGTCTGATGACGTCATCAGGCTTTCGAACGTCCGTTAAATGTTTGACTAAAACGTTTTGTAGCACGCGGTGGTATATGCTGCTTTGCGCGCAACAAATGCCGCACTTTCAAATAAAGTCGCTAGGAACAGCGGAGATCCCAAAAAGTAAACAAAAGTAAAAGTCTAATATCTTGAAAACCGGTAAATATTTTTCGATGAAATTTGGTAGATATTCGTTTTTGCTCTTTCTGAATCCAGCGACATCACTTTCATGCCAATTCATTAACTTTTTTGAAGGTGGGAGGGTCCCTTTAAACTCACCGAACCATGAGGAAACAGTTCAGACTTGGACGATCTCCCACTGACGACGCCACACGTCAACGCCACACTGAATGCATTCAGTTCAGGGGGTTACATCTGTTACTATATCAGCGTACCGACCCAACTCATTGGCAGCGAGCGGTCACCTCCTTCCTGCAGAATGGCCGTCACGGCAAGCCCTGCTTTTCGTCCAGATATGCATCGCCATCGACGCCGTATTAGATTTTCTCGTCTATACTTGCTTTGGGAGGAGCAAAAAGATAGTCTTAACCACACGATTTAGCCTCGGGGAGGACGAACGCCCATTTTGCCCTCTCCTGAATTCGCCAGTGTATACGTGTACAAACGTTTCTTTGTTTGTTTTGTTTTGTTTGTTTTGTTGGGTTAGGCCCTTTCGGTGCAATGAGACAATTTCAGAGCCGGAAGGATGATAGGAATTCGGGGGAGACATTGGTCTGGGCAGGCACTCTAGTGAGTCACCGGGGCTGAGCCCGTCCCGAAACACAGGCCGACCAACCCCGGCCAAGGTACTCACTGCCAGGGTATATTGTCACTGTAACCGACTACGGGGTGCGCTCCCTCGTGCCGCTCCAAGGGAGCAGCCCGCATGAGATAAAGGTGCCTGTCCAGCCTGGAACGAGGTTTGCGGCATAGAGGAGAGGGATTTCAGTATCCTGAGGATGGAAGCGAAGGAACGGAGGACAAACGTTTCTATTTATTATGCCGCCTATTGCATTCAGCCTATTCGGATCCCGGTTCCCGTAGCTGATCCCATTCGTTACGGTTTCTAACTTCCATTTGCCGCTTTCTTATCAAGATTGTACTTTTTCGTAGCCGTAAGCCGCGGTTCAATTGAATGCTTTGCTACTTATGCCAATTTACCTTAGCAACGAGGACACCTTCATTTTGCGTGTTGTGAGCGCTGCGGTACAGCATACCTGCAGGCGTACTACTACTGCTGCCATCTGGGGACAAGAAGCGAAGTTAGTAGTCACTGCGGTACAGCATACCTGCAGGCGTACTACTGCTGCTGCCATCTGGGGACATGAAGCGAAGTTAGTAGTCACTGCGGTACAGCATAGCTGCAGGCGTACTACTGCTGCTGCCATCTAGGGACGAGAGGCGAAGCTGCTTGCTATTCATTGCGGCACAGCATAGCTTCAGGCGTGCTACTGCTGCTGCCATCTAGAGACAAGAAACAAAGTTCTAGTCACTGCGGCACAGTATAGCTTCAGGCGTACTTCTACTGCTGCCATCTAGGAACGAGAAGCAAAGTTACTGTCACTGCGGCGCAGCATAGCTTCAGGCGTACTACCGCTAGGCGCTACCGTAATCTAGGGACAAGATATCTTGGCTCGCTCCGCGTCGCTTTGGCCATAAAAAGATTCGGGAGAAAATTTGGGATCGAATGGTGTTTTTCCGGTGACGATCGGACGTCTAGAAGCTTCGATATTGGCGAAAAACTTGCTGAAGTTGCAAAAGTACTTGGTACTTGCTTGGTACTTGCCAAAGTACTCGGTACTTGCCAAAGTATTTGGTACTTGCTTGGTATTTGCATAAGTACTCGGTATTTGCCAAAGTACTTGGTACTTGCTTGGTATTTCCATAAGTACTTGGTACTTGCTTGGTACTTGTAAAAGTACTTGGTACTTGCTTGGTACTTGCGAAAGTACTTGGTACTTGCACTCGCCCCCCCGTTCCCCCGACTCTACTCCCACACCTACCCCGTCGGGATAATTCCGGGTTCGTCGGGTAGGAAAACTTGCCACTCTAATCCCCCCCCCCCCCACAGAGCCATTTGGTATCGATCGGTGTTTATCCCGTGTCAATCGGTCGTCAATAAGCCGAGATATGCACGGCGAATTATTTCAATCGGCGTCGATCAGAATCTTCAGAACGGAGGGACCCACACTCATTTCTGGCCGTATCTCACTTTTCCGAGATGTACGTCAAACTACGTATTTAAAACTACATATTCTACAGCCGAATCTTCAAACTGGGGGTACCTCAGACCGTGGGAACGACTCGGCTCAGCACTGCCGCACGCGCATTCAGCGGCGGCTTGTCGATTTTTCGAGTGTCGGCTGCCGATCTCCCGAGAGCCGGCCACCTGTCAGCCGCCGCTCGGCTCTGTGTTAAGCATATGGGGACGGCGAATTTCTCCCGGAGGGAAGCACCTCGCTCACAAAAGCACGTGAATCAGCCGCATTCCTGTGAGGCGCGCAATGTTGAAGAGATATGTGTGCACGCAGCTATCTCGCAAGCCCTAAGAGAAAAAGCTCGCTGCAAAAACTCAGCGTTTCAAAAAAGCCGCAATCCTACTCAAATGAATAACTAAACAAGATATCTTGGCTCGCTCCGCGTCGCGTTGGCCATAAAATGATTAAGGAGAAAATTTGGGACCGATTGGTGTTCGTCCCGTGTTGATCGGACGTCTAGAAGCTTAGATATTTGCGAAAAACTTGTTGAACTTTCAGCTTGCTGTATCACCTGCTACTTGGTAATGTACTGAAAACTTGCTAATGTACTGAAAACCTGCCAAAGGTATTTACTTGCCTAAATACCGCAAAGAACTTGTTCTAAAATACTTGGTATTTACTTGCCTAAATACCGCAAAGAACTTGATTCTTTCCGACGTTTAAAGCAGACGGCCCGCTTGCCGCACGGGCCTGGCGGCCGCCAGTGGAACTACTGCGCAGATGGCAGCACCTGCCCGTGGAGAAGCGGCTGGCAATCGGCCGCCCCACTCCCCACCCCGCCCCCACCCAGCTGGCCGCCAGACCGTGGGAACGACTCGGCTCAGCACTGCCGCACGCGCATTCAGCGGCGGTTTGTCGATTTTTCGAGTGTCGGCTGCCGATCTTCCGAGAGCCGGCCACCTGTCAGCCGTCGCTCGGCTCTGTGTTAAGCATATGGGGACGGCGAATTTCTCCCGGAGGGAAGCACCTCGCTCACTAAAGCACGTGAATCAGCCGCATTCCTGTGTGGCGCGCAATGCTGAAGAGATATGTGTTTCCGCGGGTATCTCGCAGGCCCTAACAGGAAAAGCTCGCTGCAAAAACTGAGCGTTTCAAATAACGCCAAATCCTAGTCAAATGGATATTTAAACAAGATATCTTGGCTCGCTCCGCGTCGCTTTGGCAATCAAAGTATGAGGGAGAAAATTTGGGATCGATTGGTGTTCGTCCCGTGTTAATCGGACGTCTAGAAGCTTAGATATTCACGAAAAACTTGTTGAACTTGCCAAAGTACCTGCCAGCTTGCTGTATCACCTGCTACTTGGTAATGTACTGAAAACTTGCTAATGTACTGAAAACCTGCCAAAGGTATTTACTTGCGGGCCTAAATACCGCAAAGAGTTTAAATCAGACGTCTTAAGACGACCAAAGACTTTCAAAATTTCCCTTGGTCTCAGTTCGTTTTAATTTGTTTTCAATGAATGTTTGCAGTTTGAGTTATGCTTAATTCCAATTCGTATTTTGTTTCACCTACCTATCATTTCCCACATACTTTTTGCGTCCTACCTATTAAGCGATTACACTTACGTCGAAAGAGCCGGTGGGTGCTTATAATGCAATACCCTGCACGGTGAACAGCTTGCGAGTTTTGCAGCGGTGCGATTGCTGGGGCTTATCGCTGACTGAAAAGGGTAAATACAGTAAATACAGATGGCTGTGTTGGATCCCTTTGCTTTTGCCCAACATTCAGCGTTGGAATTGTGGCTTTACCGTCCCTCTTAT